TAACATACATCAAAGCTCGACAAAACTCGACATGTCGCTCATATAGCCATGTATCCCCCAAGTCCAGCTTGGTTGAAAGCAGGCTGATTCCAAGGCTGCCACCGGCTTTAGTGAACCACTCTTCACTGTAGCAGCTGTGGCAGAAGACGCGGCCCAGGTGCACAAAGAATGGGAGCTTAGCTGCTTTCTCCGGTGATCCAAAGATGACGCCCGCGGCATCCTTCACAACCACCATTGCCTGCTCAGCTGCTTCTCGGACGTGGACCTCGTCGGATGACAAACACTCGACTAAAGCCTCGGCGAGAATCCTGGAGTCAAGATACACAGGACCTTCCCCGTTTGCAACGTCAAAAGCTTTGCGACCGTGTCGGACTTGGGCCAGGGCACGACCGACCTCTACAAGAGCAAAGTGCTTGCAAACATCCGCCACAAACGCGGTGGCGATTTGCTCTAGCTCAGGGATAGTGGTAGCAAAGATACAAGCCTTGATAAGCTTCTTCACTGTACCTTCCTGTGCAATCTTCTTCGGAATAGAGGCCGACCTTTCAGACTTATCAAGGATATCTGCCATAGCACCCGGCTTATTCTCGAAGAGATCATTGGCATGGAGTCTAATGAGGGTTGCCAAGTCTTCGGGGATGGTGTCATAACCAATTTGGAGCTTGAGGTGGGAGCTGAGCATGCGGTAGGCTTGCTGCTTGTAGTAGATGTCCGAGGCTTTCCCAGAATCCGTCTTGGGGACCTCCATGAGTTTGCCCGCAGCGAGATCAATACCGATATCTATAGGGAAAGGCCGCTTCTCGTTCGGGCCGATCAGCCTGATATCGAAGCTCGGGTTGTCATCAGAAAACTGCTGGAATGACAATTCTGGCGGGTGGTTGAGGAACTTCCGATTCCGTCCGCCAAGTTTTCCCAGGATGCGCATGGTGGTGTGTGCGTGGAAGTGGTTGTAAGGAGATGGGCGCAGGTGATCCCAGAGTGCAGTCATTAGCTCGTCCATAATTGGGCCCATGATTGGATCGAGGTAGTCTGCCGTGAGGTTGTCGACGCAGAGTTCGAGAGTGCGCAAACCTTGGCCTACGAGATCAGAGTCGGCACGCAAGGCGACCACAATTGGGCGCATTAAATAGCTTAGATGGGGGAGGAGATGGCTTAGTCGGGCAGGAACGGTGAGGGTGAGTTCCACGTAGAGATCACGTTCTTGTGGCTTCCGAGCTGCAAGTAACAGGTTGTTGAATGTTTCGAGCAGCATCTCTAGAAGCGGGAGGATCTCTTTATAGAGGAGCTCGAATCGTCCCCCGCCAATGCTTCGGAAGAGAGACCTCAGAAGAAGGAAGTAGTTCATAGGCTCCTCAGCGGTGACTGAAAGCTCAATGCACTTGGTTACGATCTTCGTCACATGCGGATGGAGTACCTGCTCATTCTGTACAGAGAACAAAGTCACGGCCATGAAGGAAAGCTTAAACATCCTTAGAAGGATCTTTGCCTTGGTCATATCCGAGGTACCAACCTCGTCAATCCGTTCCATAAGATACTGTAAAACCATACCAGAGAACGCGGGAGAAGTTGCCTCACTGGCCAGGAAGAACTGCGGCAGGTGAAGGAGAGCCCCATGTTCAAACATGAGCTCGTGTAGGTACGGGATTTCGGAATGGAAGACTTCGTGGAAGGTTGCGGTATCAATGCAGTGGAAAACAGTGCCGAAACTCTCCAGCAGCTCCTTTTCTTCGCGCGACATTGGCGCAGTGTACTGGCTTGCGAGGAAGTCAAATGGAGATGCGTAATTCATCTCAGGAGGGGATTGATCAACCCCATAATAGCGGAATACCCGAGCTCCCTCATGGAAGAGCTTCTTGATAACGCCAACTTCCTCTGCATTGTAACCGTACGAAACTTCCGACCAGTTGATGGGAACGCTGTTCGGGTCAATTTGAACATCATCTGGGTTGCAGTTCTTCAATTGCCGGAAGATATTCTTTAGCCCATTGATCAAGTTTCGAAAGAGGAAGATGTTGTCCGTAACAGGGTCACCTCCACGGTCACGAGGACTAGACGTCTTGATCGGAGAGGCCGAGAAAATGTCGATTTCATCCCAGTCCGGTGGATGGTCCTTCTCAGCAAGGTAATTCTCAGCGCACGGCTCGGTGTCCTGTCGGAAGGCTTTGTACGCCTTGGAAACCTTGACAGCATTCTTAAACTGGTGGTTCATCGACGCGAACTTGTCACCAATAGCATCTAAAATCATGATTAAGAAATACCGTGCCTCACGCTTGTCTTCTAGTTTGGAGATATTCTCTGCCATGTTTAATAGAAGCTTTGCACTCATTGTCTGGAAGCTGGTGCCAGGGAAATCGTCGTGAAGGTTTTTAGTGTAGACTTCAACCGTTCGTCGTATCTGGTCGCGGCTGAGATGGTCACGAACATGGTGTATTAAATCAGCCAACATGCTATAAGCCAATGGTCTCATGGTCTCATAGACAGTGAGGCCATCTCCGATAAGAGTCCGCTCATCTAAAAGCTCATCAATCTTCTCAAGGAAGATTTTGCGATAGTTGAAGTTGATGATGTGACGAATTGCTACCAGCAACTCCTTCCTTGCACCCGACTTCTCTCGTGGACAATCTTGAAGGAGGCGAACGACCACAGAAGGGAGTGTAGGAAGGAAGTCCTGCAGCTGATGGGCATAGAGACGCAACAGATATGCCAAGAAGCTCATCGTTTTAACCTGAGCCGTTATGAACTCGCCAAATGCAGCGCGATTTTTAATTTCCTTGCACACACCCGTAAATATTGTCCCTTGTGCTGCTGCTTCTGCGTGTGCCTTTTCCTGCGGCTTCGCCTGAAGCAGTAAGATCGTTTTGATGAGCGGCACGAACAGTTTAACGTTGGCCGGTACCGATGCGCGGTGTGTCTGGAAGATTGAAACGACGATAATCGGGCACTCCGCGAGGACCTTAAACGACTGCATGCCCTTGAGGAGAACATTGCTCGACTGCTGATCAGGTCCTAGATCCGACACTGAGGTGGCAGGCGAGCTCGGTCGTGGAGACTGAAAGTTCTGTGCTGTTGCGTTGGGTGTTGATGGCATTCCCGAGGGTGTGGCCTGGTTGGGAGTGTCGAAAGTATCCCGAACAACTTGCTCCATAGTCTGGAACATTTCCTGGATAAGCTCCAAGAAAGCCTGCACCCGGTGTGCGGTGGCCTTGGCTTGGTTCCTCTCCAAATCCATTATGGTCTTCATGCATAGCACCGCATTGTCTTCGTTCTCGATCCGCGCGAGTTCCATCAACAGATTTACCATATCGACGGCGTACGGCTCCACATCGGGGGAGCCCATTGGTAATCGGTGTAGTGTTTCGAGGATGCAGTTTCGTAATTTCTAATTGACGGCCAAAGTGATTAGCCCATTATGTGCGACATTCGCCGAGGGCAAGCTTGTGCCAAAGAATCTTACCTGGTCGTAAGACATGCTGAAGAAGACCGGGTCTCCCTTCAGAATAGTTTTGAATACCGGCCATAGCTTCGCTAGGAATATGGGATAGCTTGCGCCCGAGCATAGAGGCTCAATGCTGTCTCGTAATTCGGTAGCGACATTGGCTCGGACTTTGACATCTATTGAGATAACGGGGTGGTTAGCACAGAAACTGAACAATGATTCTCGTCGTTATGAACTTCGGTAACATACCCAACTTCTCGTCGCCGAGCTTGCTGGCGTAGATATCTATGTTTCGCTCCATCGCTGTGATCTGGCCCGTCTCAAGGGCTGCGACTAAATGAAAAGAAACAGCAATTACGGCCGGGCCAAGAGGCCGGCTGAGGAGAGCGAAGTGTGCGCAGTCTTCCCAGGGGGGGATTGGGATCTCATATGTTGTGTTGTGGTGTCACGGAAGCTCTGTGGACTCGGTCGATATGCGAAAAGATCGGAGACTGTAGAACTTAAAACGAGGGAAATCATCAAGTCATTGGCTTTCCCAGGTTGAGAAACTGCTTAGTCCATTTAAAGAAATCAAGTCCGGACAGCAAATGAGTGAATCGAATTACCCCGCGGGGGAGGGGAGGCTGATGGAGATGGGGAGGAAGTTCGGGTTTGTATGCGGCGCGATATTCACGAGAGCAGAACAGAGGACGCGGGCTATCGCAAAGACCCCGAAAGAAACACTAGTCCGCATTTGGTAATTATGTCGGTGGTAGTTGTTCCGCTCCGAGGACCACCGTTATGGGTACCTAGGGTACATTGGGGTCGGAAAGCACAAGCTGCAGAACACTTATTAACTCTATAATCTATATTCATATATTCTAGGGACCCAAGATATACCGCATTCGCCTGTAGTCTTAAGTTTAGAATCAGAGGTCTTGCCGAGTGTGTAGAACGAAGTATGAGAGAACCAAACTCATGTATATATATGTTAGCCATGTAATTTAGGGCCACTCAACCTACTCATGCATGCTGACCTACTTCTTTATCCTGAAAGAGCCTTGTTCATAGGAAACATAGCGTTCAGCTTTGGATCTCGAGAATTGAGAGGGGGCTCACATCGTCATTAAATATATATACTTGTGTGAGGGCTTGTCATTGCATCACGATAACCTATACGACTGAGAAATTTTCATCACCTTGCCTCTATGAATTGCTTATATGTAAGAATAGAAAAATATTACGATTATCTACTGAGTGAAGTACGGGGTATGTTGTGTACAGAAACGCCACCAAAAGTCCAGCCCGTGGAGGACGGTACTTAGACTTTCCCCCGTGTAATAACATTAACAGTTCTAATTATAATAAGTTCTTCTCAATACACCTCATTTATTACCATGAAATGTAGGATTGTAAACCAACCCTCTGCCTGGGAAGGGACCCGATTATCTTGATATGGCCCCCAACTGCCCTCGTGATCATCATACCTACTTTCCACATGGTGTCAGCCCCCGCATTCGGGCAGCGGTGATTATTGTCCCTCCTGTGATGAGATCGTGTCAAGATCTCAGAGACTCTGTTCAATATGGTGGACCCTATTTCGATTATTTCGGCGGTAGACCTCTGCTTCAAGTGAGTTAGAGACCATGACTGGGTTGTTTAAACTGACCGTACGTCAGATATGGTACGAAACTGGTTCAATTGTGCAGCGCAGTTGCACAAGCCAAAGGGGATATTAAAGAGAGATCCCTCCGCGTGGAAACATACTGGATGAGAACGGAGCTCCAGCTGAATGTGGTGCGGGGGATTGCTTCTGAGCTCAGTGAGAAGCATCGGATGATTCAACATGCGACAATTGCAATGCTCGTCACTAAGTTGGAAATTGCGATCAACAATGTTGAGTCCACCATAAAGAGTCATCCTGATGCGGACCAAGAAATGGAAGTACATCGGTGGAAATATGCGCTCATGAAGGAAAAGATTGATCGGACCATTGAGGATCTGAAAGAATGGCAGTCACTATTTGACCCATCGTGGTATCTGATTATGAAGCTCGCAGACCGTCAAATCGATGAAGGCCTAAGGAAGAACCGAATATCTTCTGCTATGAAATTTCAAGACCCGATACCTCCTGCGCAGTCTCTCAGGATAGCGTTGCATCCGACAGAGGCGTACACTCCATCGGTTCGCCTCCCATCGGATTCTCTCATTTCTATTAACCCACAAGAGATACCATTTTGCTCAGCGCAGGTGGGCCAGAGGCCAGATAATGGCCAACCGCTCATCGTGGAACGAATTGAACCTCTCCCCGGGACTAATGTCGGGGACATGAAGAAAGATATCCGAGATCTCGCCAGACGGCTGACTGGGTCCGATGCGACGGAGTTCGGTCTCCTTAGCTGTAAAGGATATATCCATCACCGCCAGCCCGACTCTTCTCAATCTGCACCTGATGCATTTACCATTATCTTCCGAATGCCAACACAACATCTTCCTCCTCGCTCTCTCCGAGGTTGTTTTCAGGATATGAACCATAGTCACTCCCTCTCCGATCGGTTCAAGTTAGCAAACGAGCTTGCGAAAGCAGTGCATTCTGTTCACTTGTTTGGATTTGTCCACAAGAACATCCGACCAGAGGCAATCTTACTTTTGGGAAGTGATGAATCCTCGATTGGGTCTGCCTTCCTGATTGGATTTGACAGCTTCCGAATAGCCTCTGGTAGAACGTTGCGCAAAGGTGAAGCGTCCTGGGAACGATGCCTTTACCAACATCCCGACCGCATAGGGACCATTTCCTCGAAAGATTATACCATGCAGCATGATATCTACAGCCTTGGTGTATGCTTGTTAGAGCTGGGATTGTGGGAGTCTTTTTTGTCGTACGACGAGCTGACTCCGGCAAGCAATGATAATCCTCCAACCCCTGCTCGGGCTCCTATTCTTGGAACAGACCGAGGGCTATATTTCCAAAAACATCTCCTCTTCTTGGCGCAGGGTGAACTACGAAAGCGAATGGGGACCCGATACTCCGACGTTGTGGTCACTTGTTTGACATGCTTGGACGCCAATAATGTCGACTTCGGAGAGAAGGCCGATTTTGAAGATGCCGATGGCATTGAAGTGGGTGTGAGGTATATCGAGAAGGTATGTTTCTTCAAACCAAATACTATGGAAAACCGGTCTCTAACACATTATCGGCAAAGGTAACGATGCGACTAAATAGTATGTGCGTCTGAGTCAATAGTTCCAATAGAACGCACTGGTAGAAAAGGGGATAGAATACATGGGTTTGTGACATACAACTAAACACAAGAATGTGTCCAACCTGAGGGGAAAGATAAATTTATTCACATCGCCACACTAATGATATTGGGCAATTCTTCTCCCGTATCAGCTCTCCAAACTCCAACGGTCCTATCGTTGATGGAAGAGCATGCCAACAAGTTTCCATCGGGGAGAACACCAAGTGTTGGCCATCTCGATGGTCACTAGGATATTCACCAATACTGCGAAACTCTTCGATGATGAATCTCCCCTTCTTGGATTTAACAATATTCCAGAGAATAATTGTCCATATCTGGCTATGTCCCATCCGTGTCTCCCGGGGGTATATACACGTCGCTAAAACATTTCCATTTGGAGAAAAAGCTAAAGCACCGACTCGAACATAACTTTGTTTAATTTGGAACCAATGATGCGGAAATTCCACGTCTCCTGTGTTTACCTCGTAAGAATGTAATTCTTTGCGAATTAGATCGAATAATTTTGTCTAGACAGTAGGAGGCTCAACTTTGGGGGTCTTCCTTGTCATATCCAGAACAAAATACTTGACCCCGAGGAGAACGCTAGGTATTTTTTTATCTGGGGAAAAGGTTGGCACAATCCCAGACATTAGTGACGAACGTCTTGAGGCGTGTATTGGGGTTGTAGAAATGAAGAAGTCCCCAGTAATAAGATCTTGGGTCCACATTCGGCAATCACCAGAAGGATAATATATCAGTCGTTTGCCAACGGAGGCAAATATTAGAGGCACTCCACTAGAAGTCGGATGTCTGAATTTGAACAGCTCTTCCCCTGACCGAATATTCCAAACTCCGACTTTAGAGGCAGTCGAACGTGCCACAAGTTTGCTATCCGGGGAGAATGCAATGCCTTGAACATTATGCTCCACAGCGAAAGATTTACGAGGGAACTTTAGCCCTGAAGTGGCTTCCCAGATAATCAGCTTGGTCCCACCAGTCGCTAAATATTTGCTATCTGGGAAAAAACAGCAACTCTGATATTTGTATCGTGGCCGACTGACGTGCGGATTGCGGTTCCGTCTGAAGTATTCCAAAGCCTTGCATGCTTGCCAGCAGGAATAACAAACCATTCACTGTTGGGCGAGAAAGCGATCTGACTTTTCACAGAATAACCGAGGTCCTTGATGTCAAACGTTCGCCAAAGTTGGATGTTGACACCATGAGAACCAATCTTGTTGTTTGGGACTGCAGATGATATCATCAGCAAAACTGAATGAACTAAAGCTTCAGGTTGATCAGTATTTTCTCACCATCAACAACCTCCGGCGCTGGATATGATGGATTGAAATTGGATGACACAGAGCTTTCCGTCATTGAATTGATTGTAGGCAATCTTTTCTTGAATAGAGACATGTTAGGCTCCGAATTAGATGCCTTTCTATTCCATGATGCAGAGGTTCCCGTCATTTCACTAATCCCAGAGGACTTTTGTGCATGTATAGAGATGTCAATCTCCGGATCAGAAGGGCTCAGTTTTGACTCTACCCATGGGTGCGAAATAGCCATAGTAGCTGTTATTCGGTCGTCTGGGATAGGGCACATAAGTGAGGTGATAAATTCAACACTGAGCGCTGTATATTTGGAAAGACGGCGAGTGGGAAATTGGTTGATCTGCGTCGCATATTGGAACAGAGCCCCAAGATCCTCGAACACCATCTCTTTGGTAAGGAGCTCAAACACAATCTGACCAAGGGCCCATATATCCGAGGCAAAAGGGGCACCGCGCTTGATTAAGCCGTATACCTCGGGGGCTATATAGCCCGGTGTTCCACGTAGGATTGTAGAAGCGCCAGGGGCTGCTGCTTCTATGCGTTTGCTGATACCAAAGTCGGAAATCTTGATCCACCATTCATCTGGTGGGTGCGATTGTATTAGAATGTTCTGCAACACAGATATTCCGGGCTGTCATACCAGCCCTGCGACTTGATGAAACATCGTTCATACTACCAAGTATATATTAGCGAAAGCGAACTTCCACGGGTCCTCCACAGATAGACCGTTTAAGTAACGAACCCTCGGTTGCGAGAATTTGGCAATCGCCTCAAGCTCACGATTGTAGTCAATAGCACCGAATCCCCCCTGATATTGATTTGTTTCACAGCTCGAACTTTTCTATGACCACCCGTTGTGCGTTCTTCGGCCATACACTTCCGCACCCGCCACTTCCGACTTCTTTCCCTCGTCGCCAATGCTCTTCTCTGGTGACAAGCCGGCGGCTTAATTTCGGGTCGGGTTCATGATATGTATGGACGGTTTCGACGGTGCAATCGGGTAGGTAATATGTTTCCAGCTTGGAATCACGAACCAAATCTGGGATTTTGGCTATCTAGACGTCGTAATGACTGAAACCCCGGACGGCGTTGGAGCATCCACAAATTAGAAAAAGAATCAGGGCTAAGCGGGGTACTATCAGCTCAGCCTCAACAGCTGACATCTTTAAAGAGGACGCAACGCAATCGGCCTACGACTCTGGGTGGGGCAGCACTGGAGAACCTTCTAAGGTTGGGAGGTACACCAGTGCAATAGATCCATGGGAGCTGTCCTGGACTATGTATAAGGTAAATAAACATCAGTATTATCTGACAGAAATCCAGGGATTATAAAGTTATATTTTGATCAGTACTAGAGTATGTAGGGGCAGAGCTTACCTGAATTATAACAGATGGCTTAATGAGCAAAGTATCCACCCGTGGGCCTAGGTAGTCCATAAGAATGAAGCTATTCCTACCATATAAATCACCGTATGCGCTTATTTCTAGGCGTTGAAGCTATTGCAATCGGCCAAAGATCTCGAGATTAATATAAGGAGGCATTTTGTGCAGTTCGGGACGGTGCTCGATGTTTGGGATTCGAAGAAACTGATGATCTGTGGGGTAGGAATAGCTTCAATTTTGAGGAATATAGAGATTTCAAAGGCTCTTATACAAAGTGTGCTTTGTTTACCGCCCTTGTATACACCTAAAAAGATACCTAAAAAGAATATCTAAAAAGTCTAGCTAAAAATATATCCAAACACATTATCTGAAAAGACATGACAAGGTACGGTAACCAGCCAACTATTCTTATATGTGGTATGTATAACTAGGAATAGCTTCAATTTACAGAATACGGTATAGAGCAGTGTCTAAAGCGGTCTATAATTTAGGCATATCAAGACATTATCCCAAAAAAAAAAAAATTCTGGCATTTCACCTTCGGCCGTTCTACCCCTTCGCACCCACCCCAAAATATGGCCGCTGGTAACATAGAATCAATCTAGGCGGCCTGCAACTTGGGCGTTCTTGTCAACTCAATAGCGCGGACTACTTTCGAACTATGCTTTCTTTTTACATACATATAAAAATCTACATGATAAACCCTCCATTACAAGGATGCATTCGTAAGGTAACCTTAGCCGTTGAAGCCTGCGGGGTGGCCAATGGGGCTTCAATCTCAAGAATGCATCGCAATTCCGGGGTGTTGTCCGTCACTGGGCTGGGCTGCAGCCACTATTTATTGTCCCCTGCAGGACAATATTTTGTTCGCCCTTTTCTTTGCCTGGAATGCCAAGCAAGAGCTAAAATGTTATGAAAAGACGCACTCCTCCATCTTCGGATCTTCCGTCGAACATGGATTTCGCCCAACCTACATCAATGGAGAAGACAACAGCAACTGATCCTCCACCGCAGGAAATCCCAAGTCACGCACCCGATGAAGGGGGATCACTATCTCGCCCTCCGGCGAGCACCTGGACAATTGTATCTCTCACTATAGCCCTCTGTCTAGGGATCTTTTGCATGTCGTTGGTAAGTGAAATGCTGTAGATAGCAGCGAGCGCTAGAAGAAACGGCCCATGAAGACTGACTTGCCTAGGATGTCACAATCATCACGACCGCTATTCCTCGTATCACCGATCAGTTTGACTCAATAGGCGACATCGGTTGGTACGGCAGTTCATATCTCCTTACAAATTGCGCCACTACCCTTGCCTTTGGCAATTCTATACATTCTACTCGACAAAATGGGTATACCTATCCGCCTTATTTCTGTTTGAAGTCGGTTCGCTTGTCTGTGGAGTTACTCCTACCTCTGTTAGTCTGATCCTGGGTCGATGCATCGCTGGTCTAGGTGCTGGAGGTCTCTTCTCCGGGAGTCTCTTGATCATTGCTCAGACTGTTCCTTTGCATCGTCGCCCAGTCTTCACGGCCTTGCTTGGTAGTATGTATGGTATTGCCAGCGTCGCTGGTCCTCCGTGAGTTGGACTTCTTTCTTCATTCTGCTTTGGATATCTTCTAACAGGATCAGATTGGGAGGCGCATTGACAGACCGCGTGTCCTGGCGTTGGTGCTTCTACATCAACTTGCCTATCGGTGCTGTCACAGCTGTATTTGTCCTATTTTTCTTCCACGCCCCTGAGTCAGTCAGAAGGCGCCCAGAGTTACGCAAACTGCTGAGTGAGCTAGATCCGATCGGTTCGTTCTTTTTCCTACCTGCCATCGTCTGCCTTCTTTTGGCACTCCAGTGGGGTGGCACCCAATACTCTTGGAATAACCCTCGGATCATCGTTCTTTTCGTGCTCGCCGGTGTTCTCCTGTTCGCCTTCCTCGGTGTTCAGATCTACCAGAATGAGAAGGCTACACTTCCACCACGTATCGTCCGGAATCGAAACATCTGGTCATCAGCCTGGTTTGCCATCACCCTTAATGGTGCTTACTTTGTCTTCATTTACTACGTATGTCGCGGGTAAAACATATCCACGTTCGCGAAAGCTAACTTTTTAGCTTCCTATTTGGTTCCAGGCAATCAAGGGCGCATCGGCCACCAAATCAGGCGTAATGAACCTGCCGACTATCATCGCCGTTGTTGTCGTCTCCATTCTATCCGGCCTCGTCACCATATCCGGCTACTACAACCCTGTGATGATTATGTCCTCTGTCATATTAGCAATTGGCGCCGGTCTACTAAGTACCCTGAAGACAGACTCGGGGAGTGGCGAATGGGTCGGCTACCAGATTCTAATGGGACTCGGTGTCGGTCTCGGAATGCAACAGCCGTATATAGTGGTGCAGAATGTGCTACCTGATGGTGACATCCCCACTGGTACAGCTGTGATAACGTTTGCCCAGACCCTGGGAGGTGCAATCTTTATTTCCGTGGGTCAAAATATATTCCAGAACCAGTTCGTTCACGCCATGCGCTTGGAAGATCCCTCGGTGAATGTAGGCGCAGTTCTATCGGCTGGCATGACGACCTTGCGGAAGCATCTTCCAGCTGAACAGCTCCCAGTCGTTCTAAGATCCTACAACTCCGCCATTACCGAGGCCTTCTATGTGGGCATGGCTTTGGCAGCACTTTCGTTCTTTGGAACAGTCGCGTTGGATTGGAAGTCTGTCAAGAAGCCGAGGAACGCTCCACCCGACGATGACTGAGAGTTGAGTCTGAACGTGATTTAGGTGTATATAGCAGAGCCCAAAGCAGAGCCAGAGCTCGGGTGTTCTCTATAATGTTAATTTCGTGGGTCACATATACAAGACCCAGAATCGGAACCATCTCTACGTGTACTGGAGTAAGGCATTAATTAGGCCCCCCAGACTACAGAGATCTGCTGAGACCCTGCATAGGTAGTAGTAAATATTACGTAGTAGTTAAACCTTGAACTCCAATTTTGAATTACCAACTCATCCTACGCAACCCTGTCGGGCGGTAAAACCAGTCGCCCATTTTCAGGCCGCCATCGACAGCTTAGGCTTTCCCTTAATCTGCTTAGAGCCAAGCCGTGAAAGTTATTTGTCGCAAGGGCCGTTTTGGGGCCATTTTTGCCCCCTCCCTCCGCAAACCAACTACTAGCTCCCTTGAGGGTGCATGTACTTTCCTTGGCATATCTTGGCTTTGACTCGGCAGTTTTCCGAAAAGTAAAAGAGAAACTTGCATTGGCATTTACCCAAGTGAGGCGAGTCATGTGGGAGTCATGTGGCAACAAATAGAGCCCTATGAAGTACGTCGAAGTCCCTTGCATAATATGACCTGTGTACTCCGTGCATGCCAACGTAGTACCCCATATGTACTGCAGCACGAGGTCACGGAAAATATTCAGCTCAGCACATGCCAAGCGGAACTTTCACTGCTGCTCCATGAGAGATGTTCTCTGGTCTTGGTAGGACGTGGAAATATGAGCTAGTGGCATTGGTGTGGAATAAAGGGTTCGCACCTTCATAGCTTGCATTTGGGGTAATCTTTAGACAATACAACATCTCCGACACCTTTAGTTTCTGGAAAAATCCTCATACCACCATACCGCAATGACAGTGTCTTCCACTAGCCAGACTCTCAAGGTCTCTGTGCCAGCGGTCGCCCCAGAGGCAGATATGCCCCATCGCACGCTGAGCAAGTCGATGACCTTTGCCAATTTGGACCAATACCAATACTGGCATGCCGTCGGTCCAATTCTGGGGAGAATGCTCTCCAACGGCAACTACGGCATCCACCAGCAATATGAATATTTGTGTCTATTTGCGCATGTTATAATTCCAAAGCTGGGACCCTTTCCTGGCGGAAGAGATATATACAAATGTCTGCTCGGAGGCACCGGCTCCGTGGAGCTCAGTCAGAACGTCCAAAAATTGGGCCTGACTACACGGGTTGCGTTCGAGCCCACAAGCTACATTGCTAGCACTGGAGTCGACCCGCTCAATCGACACACGGTACACGCTACCCTGGCCGAGTTGAGGGCTATCGGGTCTGCCACCGTTGACATGGAGCTACATCAAATCCTCGTCAATGAGCTGACTTTGACGGACCGCGAGGAAAATCTCATGTCCCCGGAAGCTATCTCGGGAACTGCGTGGAAGACGCAAATTCTGCTTGCTTTGGACTTGGGCCAGACTGGCATCACTGTCAAGGAGTATTTCTACCCTGCACTTAAGGCTTCTGTGACTGGGCAAAGTGTGGCCAAACTGTGCTTTTCTGCTATTCGCAAAGTGGACAAGCAAGGAGATTTCGAACCATCGAGTAAGGTCATTGAGGCCTATATGCAAACCCAGAGCCAGACAGACCTTTACTTTTTGTCCTGTGATTTGGTTGATCCAGCGCAAACTCGGATCAAGCTTTACCTAATGGAGCTAGACATGAGGTTGGCAAAGGTCGAGGAGCACTGGACAATGGGCGGTAAGCTCAATGACGAAGAGACATTGCTTGGACTGAAAATGCTGCGAGAACTGTGGGTGGAGTTCGGGATTATCGAAGGCATGCGAAATGAGCCGGAGCGGCCATCACTGCCTGGAGATCCCGACACTATCGTTCCCTTCATCATGAACTATGAGATGAACCCCGGCGAGGCATTGCCTAAGCCTAAGTTCTACTTCCCCTTGGTCGGCATTTCGGAGCTGAAAATCGCCAATGTGCTCACAGCATTCTTTGAGCGCTATGATATGCCTGACCAGGCCGCAGTCTATCGCGACAATTTGCAGACATACTAGTAAGTTCCTTCTCTATAAAGACGTATGCCGAATGTTTGTTGCTAACCTGACTTGTGTTATACCAGCCCCAGCAAGGATTTGGCTATTGCAACGGATCATCAGGCATGGCTGTCCTTCTCATACACCAAGAAGAAGGGACCATATCTCACCATGTACTATCACTAGTAGTTTAACACATTAGTTTGTCTTCGATATTGTTGATGATAGACGAATGGATGAGTGGATAGCTTGTTTGTACTTAATTTAAGATATTGAGACTAGCTAGAAAGTAGAAAGTCTAATATGTTACGGAAACCCACTGGTATCCTTTCCTCTTGCTTTAGGTAGTACATTCGAAAAGGCGATTAATATGGGGACTGACTGTTTTCCTGGTATCCGTGCACACATGGTATGGTACGGCTTGTTAAAAGCTTTCAGGATACTTAGTAGAACATGTAATATTTCAAAGCTATGGAAACTATACGAAACTGCTATGGCATCGCTAGTCGAGATAGCCATCCTCACCCACCTAAGTTGTTTTCTGGCCAGTTGCAAAAACAGCAGTCCACTTCTGCGGCACCAGGCCATTCGCTCCATAAGTTTCATTCAGATACCGGTGAAGAGCCGGCAAAATGTCCTCTTCGTGCTTATCCCTTTGCTCCTGACTCCACCATTTACTGACAATAATAGGAATCATCGGCTGTGCAATCTTGTACAAGTCCTCGATGCTTGTCTCGAATTGCTTCGTGATTGTCGTGACTTGGACTTTCTGGAATCCTGCCTCCTCAAACCTGGAGTGGACACAATCCTCCGAGTCCCATCCTGGGTTCATGCAGGACATGAATTCCTTGCTAGTTGGGAATGGAAGATCCGCCGGGATTGTGGCAACAGCAGCCTCAAGAACGGCAAGCCATTCGGCTGTGATATGTTAGAATTGGCCTTCATAGTAGAGATGGCGGAAATTGAAATGGAACATACTTCGCTGCCAAGTTGAAACCGTAAGTGTTCCTCCCTGTTGAAGAATCCGCATGACCTCTGTTCATGTAGATGAGTTTTCATTTCGCATATTTTGGTTGTGAGTGAACTAACCTTTCATGGCAGCATAGGTGTCGGGAAAGGAAGTGAAAGCTAAATTCCGGCAAGATTCTGTATCAGTACTCTAGGACAACGATACACTTCCACATTTACATACCAAGAGCGGCAAACACGTGGGTATAATGTCCGGTAGGAAGCTCGGTATTTTGCGCATCCACCACCTTAGCAGTTGAATTGCTCCATCCTCTCTCTGAGATCTTCTGCTTCACATGACCAGTGAGCTCAGGTGAGATGTCACCACATGTCAGTTCCCAGCTCTGTTCTAACTAGCTGGGAATCCAACATGTCATGGAGGGCATCGGAGACAACACCCGTTCCACAGGCCAGGTCCAAGATTGCCAGAGGCCGTAGGCTTGACTCGCTGAGCCCCGAAATATTTATCAAATCCTGGGTATAATAGCAGGTAATCTTTTCCGCGGTCATATAGGTATCTAGGATTCCCTTGCCCGTGTAGAGCTCGGTGAATTTGGTGGCACGAGTCGTAATGAGATTGAGATACGAAGGGATTGAGGAATTTGAGCAATATGCGTTAATCGAAATTTGGAGAAACCAATGGAGTGAAATTGGTTTTACGTTTTATAAGGTCGGGATGCACTTCCCTAATACGACAGTAACAGCGGAGGTCCCTACTTCGGGAGTATATCACGCAATCCATCAAATGTAAAATACAAGTTGGATGAAGCACATACATATTTTTCACTCCTCTCGATCTAGACTTCTCCATTCCTGGGCATATCTCCGCCTCAGAGGCAAGGAGTCACCAGACGGTGGGTCCCCATTCCAATACCCCATACTGGGTAACAAAAGTAGGAGGATAAAAGCAATTAGCAAGTTATTAGGGTAATTACAGGTTTTTCTTTCAGTGGCGCAATCCAGCCTTGTAGTCTGAAATACTTTCGTTCCCACAAAATAGAATTTCTCTGTCACTCGGGAAGATAGTGATATATCTTGTATCCTCAACAGGCTGGTTCAAGGCAATAAATAATCACCAGTCAATAATGGACATCAGTAGCAAGTTGCCGCTTTGCTGCTCATCTTCGGAGTTATCCTGCTGTTTCCATTTCATAGGACCCAGTCTTTCATCTTCATAAACTCGCACTCGTGGGATATTTTCCGAGCCAAAGCCAAGCGAGAATTCGAATCAAATGCAGAAAGCCTCATTCAAAATGCACTAGGAAAGGTCAGTTAAATTCTAGTTTTGTCTTTGTAACAAGGAGGACGAGTATTAACGCCCACAGGACAGGAACTTTCGGCATTTCAATTGGTAACCAACATGGGAACTTATCTAATCCTTGCAGACTGATATGCCGAGGAAATGAGAAATGATGAACGATTCAGTGCCTATGATTCTTTGAATGATGTATGTATGCCTTGTCCGTCGACGCATTCCGTATATTATGGATAGTTACCTGACCCAGGGACTTGCATTTGATCCTACTGGAATTACCAGGTTTTGAGACTATGTTTCAAGGCTCATTGCATAACCATGTGTCCCCTACTGCGATTCACGATATGAATAGGGAGCTGGGTAAGCTGTTCCGGCCTCGGACTATTCGCTTCATGCATGACTAATCGCCATGTCACAGTCCACTTGACTCAACCGCTCTCAGATGAGGTAGACCACTGCCTGCAAGCTCAATGGAGCGAGAATTCCGGTATGCTCTGAGTATCCACTAATACATCATTGCTGTGGGGTCTGATAGATTACAGAATGGCACACTGTCTCAACCCACGACACTGTCTTGGCCTTGGTCCCTCAGATGACCAAGCGAGCATTTGTCGGAGCCGAGCTCTGTCGTAACGCTGAATGGCTCGATATTGCGATTAGTTTTACGATTAATCGTGCTATTGCCGTCCAAGCAATCCAGGCTTGGCCCTGGATCCTGCAGCCTGTTGTCCATTGATTCTTGCCCACCTGCAAGGGTGTTCGTCGCCAGATTCAGCGAGCTCGAGACATCTTGATGCCAGTTCTAGAGCGCGAGAGGCAGGTTATGCACAGCAAAGATATGTCCACCGATCGGGTATTCTCGACATTAACTTTCATTGATCAGTATGCCAACGGGTCTCGGTATGACGCCACCATGGCCCAGCTGAGACTGACCGCTGTGTCCGTCCTGACCACTTCGGACATGGTAGAGAAAGTGCTAGCAAGAATTTGCGAATATCCAGAGTTGATCCAGCCGCTCCGTGAAGAGGCAATCTTGGCCGTTGAAAGTGGCGGCTTGCATCACAAGTCCCTGCTCAAACTGACACTAATGGAGAGTGTGATGAAAGAAAGTCAGCGGCTTGAGCCTGCCACACTCAGTGCGTTGCTTCCTTCCCTTCATTTCTCATTCCAGTGTTACTATGTCGTTCGACCTTGCTAATTTATTCGTGTTTTCATTTCAGTATCCATGTTCCGAGTGGCCAAAAGGACAGTCATATTGCAAGATGGCACAACTATCCCTAAGGGTACCAGCGTTGCCTTTGCCAATGACCTTCGGCTAGACCCCGTAATGTATCCGGATCCTGAAAAGTTTGACGATTATCGATTCGAAGAAATGAGGAAAGATCCAGAGCAGGCAAGCTTGCCCCATTCACCAAGACAAGAACAAGCCATTTGGCTTTCGGTCATGGGAAACACGCTTGTCCTGGTAGGTTCCTTTCCAGCAATGAAGCTAAACTGATACTTTGTCATATTTTGCTCAAGTACGACTTGAAAGCACTAGATGGACGTGTCCCGGATCTGCACATTCGGGGAATGTTTATCCAGAGGGATACAGGAGGGATGCTCTCGGTGAGAAGACGACAGGAGGAAGTCACGCTGTGATGGTAGTTATGAATGGAGTTGTTTCGCGTACCTAGATTTGATGTGTTGGCGAATCATAACCGTTTCATATTATCAGAACTGTTTCCAGTCAGTCTGTATTGCCTGAAGCCTCGAGTCCTGGGCAAATAAATCTCTAAGAGTCAAACAATACAGCAAAGGCCCACGCTGCTATGCAAGATGTCAAAACATATCCTAGTGCATACAAGAGAGATACTGCGACGTATTTAGAAGAGCTTGCTATTTTAGGATTGCCATTTAACTGGCTTAGGATCTGCTCAGCACTGTAATTAAAGGAATATCATTCAAATTGAAGTAGATATTTCGGCAGGTATTGAATTTAAACTCGTTCCAGAAAGACAGGTCGAGTCTACAAGATCCCCGTCATAAATACCACAATGAGAATCAAGCTTCTACAGGTTTCTTGAAATCGTGTACCACCTGATACTTGCTGTCCAATGGAATATTCCGTGGTCGATACGCCGTGTTGTCCCGAACCGCACCCATCGCAGCAGGGAACTGCTCGTAAACATCACGCTTCACGTCATAGCCAAAGATCCACTCGGGACGTGGGAACTTCATGATGGACGGATTCTTCTCAATAGCCTCCCAGTCTGGATCACGCATCTGATTATAGATTGCATTACCACTGTCCTGGATAATGCTGGTGCGCTGGTATCGAATTCTTTCCACCACTTAGAGAGCCAGTCTCACCTGACTCTTTCCCACCAGCACGAGGTAAATCGCTATGTAGCCGCATCCTCAACAGACTGACCACCTCCCTGTCCCGCAATCGGGGACATCGCGTGAGCTGCATCTCCGATCACCATAATACGCCACAACGAGAGGTCCAGGTTGGCAGGGGATCGCGGGAGATGATCTTGTAGTCCGCAAGGTTTTCGCTTGGCGTGTGTCGCAGAACAGCAGCGACTCGAGAGTAAGTGGGCCAGTCCTTGAGCAGGGCGAGGGCATCCTCGACGCGGGCATTGGTGATATTTTCCCATGATTCGTCAGCCTTCTCGTGGTTCTAATGTTCCCAAAACCAAGTCAGTCTTTACTCTGGTGCCCGAAGTTGGAAGTAATACACACTCGGTGCCACACCTACCAAATTACATTGTTTCCGCGTTTTCCAGTCGCCAAGGTCAATCCTAGGCCTCCGGTCGTTATGTACCGTCGCATCCTGTCTTGCAAGCCTGCCTCCTCCAGGATCCATTGGGCCTCGGGGTCCCCTGCCAGCAACTTGGCACTGAAACATGCCCTTTGCTGCATTGCTTCCCAACGCAATGCTATCTCCTAGTCTAGTCAATAAACAACGCAAAGACTTTCAAGTTGATATCGCAGAGCTTACCCAGTACTCTAATCTCCGGGCTCCTCTCAAGGCCAACTACCACGTGTCCCTTGTAATGACACTCAATCGCCGCAACAAGACCAGCAATCCCGAGCCCGACAATAATCACTTGGATTCCACTAGAACTGGGTACCGCAACTCCACTGGGGCTAACCCCATGTGTGACAGTCATCGTATTGCGCTTTGTTGTAGTGGACCTTGGTGGTTTGGGCCTAGCGACTACAACAAGAACGAGAGAATCTCTCTTTATGGTGACTTGGTTGCCGATCCCTACTACTGAGGCTAGAACCGTAGTACATACTACCTGAAGATAGTGGGCTGGATGGAGAGCTGGACCTACATTTCTCTACCTGCCTTGCTACATGCATTGATCATTACGTTCCGATCACACCATGCGGTGTGTCGATCCGCTCTTCGTTGTAGGTATTACTGAAATTAGCCTCTAGCACGCCAGCACACCGCTGCGGAATGAGGTAAGATGTTGTATGTATGACAACCTCTACAAACCATCACCTTTAACGCACAGACGACTGCCAAGAAAGGGGGCCAGAAACATGCTGCAATGCATGAGTCCGGGCATAACATTCAGCTAGGCCCATTTAGATAAAGGCCCGATGCCAAGGATTGCTGAGGACGACTTGCCTCTGATGCCAAGGACCATGTAGGATGCAGTTACATACAATGCGCATTGTGATGTGAGGTAGGAATGCGGGAGAGCGCGCTATTGTTTCCATGTAGCCAAGCCCATGGAAGCCCGAGATGGGGCCCAGAGCACTACGAGTAGTCCGCACGGCGATTACAGATCGGGCCTGATGCAAGGGAATACATTCCCCACGATGGAAAACAATCTCTGGGGATGATCAGCAGCTACCTCCGTATAACGTGAGTCTTCCTGCTAGCGCATTTCCCTGTCTCGAGGGCATGTCTGTGAATGTGGGTCTTCCAAAACTCTACTTGGATTTGTCGTCGCCGATTGGCTCAAAAATAAAGTTAGGTGAAGATCAATCTCCACTGATAGTTACAGGGGTCTCACAGAATTAGAGCGTGCAAGGGAACAGCACATGAACTATCGATTACCTATCGATCGCGGGTGATCTTCGACGATCAGGAACTGTAAGCTAGTTTGTAATGGGGATTTCATTATGCTCACCGTGCCCAGATTTTAGTCCTCCGGGATCGGCGGTACATGAGCGAGACTGAGATTCAGTCACGTGGCTAATGTCTCAGGGATGGAGTACCATGCTAGCCGTAGCTAGTGGATAGTAACAAGTCAAAATATTAAGACAGAGAATCCATGCAGAATATTAATTTAGTTAGTATTATGAAACTTGACTTGGTTGGGCCAAACCTCAGGCGGAAATTCCATTGCTCAGAAGGGTATATTATCAGCGAAATACAGTGACAATGTTCCCATCTAGGATACAGAAGCCTTGGAAAGATGAGTCCAAACAATCAATCCATGTATTTTGAGTAGCCAGATCTGATTATAGCCCACTCAAGTGGAGAGAAGAATGTATACTATAGCGCTTCCAAGATAATCTCCTGCTCAGCAACCTTAAACCACGCATCTCCTCGTTTCTGGGCAACTTCCTCGTTCACAGCAGACTTTCCAGGGGGTTTCAAGTGATAATTTTCTACAGTGTAGGCAACCAGCACCTTTAGAATCGTGTCTGCCAATGCCTGTGCGATACACTGGCGGGGCCCGAAGCCAAAGCGCCAAAATCGATACCGAAAGCTGGACCTGGATTCCTCCAGGAACCGCTGGGGTCGGAAGGTCATTTTATCAGAGCCCCAGGCGTCATCCCAGATGTTCAACGCATTGGTGTCAACCACCATGAAGGTCCCATGGGGAATGCGGTATCCACCCACGTCACGGTCAGTGGGCATCGATTGCGCGTAGGTGTAGTTCGTCACTGGCTTCAGTCTTGCAGATTCATTGATGCAGCTCGCCAGCAGAGTCGAGTTGCTGGCAATGTATTTGACCCAGGACTCTGGAGCTACGTCAGATCGGGTTAGTGAGATCTCGTTTCTTAGCTCGGTCTGTAAGCCGGCATTCTCAGCCAGAAATTGTGGGATCCAAGAGAAACTGCCGATTGTCACGTCGATGTTGGCAAACAGCGCTTCGTCCAATGTGTGCATCAGCTCGGTTGGTGTAATCTGACCTTGTTCAACAGCCCTATACAAGGGAACAATAGCACAAGCAGAGGCATCGTCACGGTTCACTGCAAGCTGATACGCCATCTGATTGAACTTTGCCCAACGAGTGTGGAAGACGTGCAACTTGTTCCTTATGCCCGGGTAAAATATCTTGCTGATGGAGAAGAGTGACAATCCTCCTTTGAAGGCATATTGGAACACATCGGTGCGCAGATCGGTGATGAGCAAGAGCTCCTCTGTCATATCTGAGGACAAGTTTCCGTACAAGAGGTCGCTAATAACCCAGAAGGGCAGAAACTTGAGGTCCTCGGCGGGCTTGATTCGTAGCGCTTTCCCGCCTTCATCCTCCTTGTATAACTCAGAGAAATGGCGTGAGATGCGGGACTGGACAAAGGGAACATATGTCGTGGGCTTCTGGGTAAATGGTCGTGAAACTACAGCATGGACCTTCTTCCAATGTCCTTGGCTGATGAGTCCGACACCATCACCGACCAGGTCGCCCATTACCCATCCACCATTCAGGTTTGAAGCCTTGTAGTGGTTGCCAGAGTCCTTAAACACCGTCTTGATCTCATCCGCGCGGGTCAAAATGCTGTCCTTCCATTTAGTGTGGGTAGTTCATTTTACGGGAGATGACTTACATTTCTGGCGTGAGGCCGACCCAGATGCGATACACCGGGCCATATCGCTCGGCCCACTGACGAGAGAAGTTCTCTCCCTCCAGGAACTTGAGACTACCCCCGCCATCTGGAAATCGGTAAGGGAAAGTTGGGATGGGTGTCGAGCCATCCGTCGAATAAATTGGGTACCACCAGAGCAGAAGTCTCTACATTGATTCAAGAGTAAACGTCAGCGGTGTTCTATCGATGTACCTCGGAGTATTACTGACATTAACGATGTAGGATACTACTCGATTTGACCAAGTATTTGGCTGGAAGGCGTTCCACAAGGTGGCTAGAAGCGACATAACTGCCAACTGCAGTGCTAGAAAAATGTAACTTGACATTTTGTGACGCTGACGTTGGAAAAAAACAGAAGTAATGAATGGAGGATTCAACCTTGTAAATGACGAGTTTAGATTCAATGGAGTGGAGAGCACGGTGCAATTGTCCAAATGAGTATGGTCCAGTAATAGAGACGATCTTATTCCAGCTCCCACATGTGCGGCTGACAATCCAGGGCGACATCACCGAGTGGCCTCAATATCACCTGCACAAAGTACCATGCGGGTGCAATGTTGATCAGCAAAGACCAACATGCATGGTCGCATCGGGCTGATCTAGGCGAGCGCATGGTGTTAATATCTGCAAGGACTTCCGGGGATGGTTCCAGATGTAGCCACGCACTAAAGGCCATTGGTGGCCAGGCTCGGCTTGGCAACTATAACAACACTCTTGCTGCTAATACCCCATTCTTGGCGGTTTTAAGAGGTATATCGGGAGAAGCCATTTGGGCTGAAGTACAGACATTCTGTGTATTCATTACCATGAAGGAAGCCTCATATCTCGGGAGGAACCTTAACCTTGGGAGTACTTTTCCACCATCGCCATGGATTCTTATCATAGTCGTCATACTATTTCCCTTACTTTGCGTAAGGAATTGGAAGCAGAATGGACGGATAATGGTCAAGCGTTGCTCCAGCCTCATCTTCTCAAAGCATCCTGGGCCTTGTTGCTTGGCAGGCATTTGGAAACACAAACGACAACATTTGCAGTGCTGGAACAACTGGTAGCTCCTCTGACAGATGCGTGTTCAAAGTTGGTGGTGTCACCTGCGCATTTAGAAACCTGGGAAATATCAGACAATCCGGATAGTCTCTTGGTGGATGCAGCGAAGGAAACACAAAGAGAGCCTCTTTCGGGAACACAGGCCTCAACGGCTGTGGTTATCAGGTGGCATAATGAACCGAAAGGTCCGACGTCTGTAAGTAGGAGTGCAATAATGCGTTATTCACACAACGTACTAATAGAGTTTCAGTTGCCCTGTGCATTCGATACGATGATTGTTTTGGATTGCAGTATATCACCAGTCCAGGTATCCATGAAATACTCAAGGACATCTCTCACGCTAAATCAAGCCTGGTCACAATTAACGGCTCTGGTTCACATTCTGGAGCAGATAGTTATACGTCCCGGGCTATCACTCCAAGAGGCGGATTTCCTGGGCTCATATAGCTCCAAATTGATCCGGCAATGGAACAACCCGTACTCACTCGCACGACCACAAGTGTGCATTCATACATTGATCCTAGAGCATTGCCGGAGCCAACCAAATGCCGAGGCGCTGTGCGCTTGGGATGGTTCCATCACTTATGCGGAACTTGATCAGTTTTCACTGGCAGTCGCATTGCAGCTGCTGTTACTTGGTATTGGCCCAGAGTCAGTGGTTCCGCTCTACTTCGAAAAATCGCGCTGGACGGTGGTCGCCATGCTAGGAGTCCTGAGAGCGGGAGGTGCTTTCGTTCTCCTCGATCACTCTCACCCTATGACTCGTCTGGCCGAGATTTGTTCGGAGGTGCAGGCAACGGTTGCCATCGCATCGGAGTCATTGCAGGAACTGGGTCAGCAGCTGGGTCCTGGAGTTATCACAGTCCTCGACACAATCAAGACCCAAGTCGATAAAGGCAGAGGCATCTTGAACACATCTGTCAAGCCTTCAAACGCCGCATACGTTGCTTTTACTTCCGGGTCAACCGGAAAGCCCAAAGGGATCGTGGTTGAACATCAGTGCTTTGTTGCAAACACGCTCTCTCAAAATGCAGTCCAGAATATTAATAGCGAGACGCGGGCATTTCAGTTTGCCTCATATGGATTTGATAGCAGCATTCTTGAGACATTGATGCCTTTGGTGGCAGGCGGTTGCGTCTGTATACCCTCGGAAAAGCAGCGGCTCAACGGCCTCGCAGATGCTATCCGGGGGCTGCGAGCCAACTGGCTCGAACTAACTCCATCTGTCGCACGATTTATCAACCCCGAAGAGGTGCCGGACGTGAAATCTGTCTTGCTTGTGGGTGAGTCCATGTCTCAAGACCACATCACGCAATGGTCGGGGTCGGGGAAGATCCAACTCCTCAACGCATACGGCCCGGCCGAGTGCAGTGTGGTGTCCACTGTACAGCCGCATGTGCAACTACAAGACTCCAATAATATCGGTCGTTCATACAGCAGCCACTGTTGGATCGTCAACCCTCATGATCATGATCAGCTTGAGCCCCTGGGTGCGGTGGGAGAGTTACTCATCAGCGGACCAATCGTGGCCCGAGGCTATCTCAACCTGCCCCACCAGAAGTCTTTCATCTCTAACCCTTGTTGGGCCAAGCGATTCGGCATTCCACCTCGTGAACGCGTTTACAAAACTGGAGATCTTGTGCGATACAACCTGGAGGATGGCACGTTGCGATATGTCGGGCGCAAAGACCGGGAGGTGAAAATCCACGGGCAACGCATTGACCTGCAGGAAATTGAGCATCATGCCTCCAAGTTTCAGAAAGGAATACTTGCGGTGGCCGATGTTATTCAAGCCAACAGTAGTAGTGCAGGGAAACTCCTTGCGTTATTCATTGTTGCAGATAATGATGAGAGTCATATGACGAAGGAAAGCTTCGTTGTCCCCATGAATGACACACTCCTCGATTTGGTGACTGATATCAAACACTGGCTTCGTGATTGTCTACCGCCATATATGATCCCAACCAAATATACTTTTGTCAATCGGTTTCCTCTAACGAGAACTGGCAAACTTGATCGACGAGCCTTGGTCGATCTTGGAACAACATCGAGTCACACGCCATCTGGAGAGTACCCATCAAATCAGCGTGATAAAGAAGATGTCGACCTGGACCCAGAGGTTTTCGCCAAGGAGATTACCCTGTGCTCAGTCTTTGCTCAGGTATTGGGTTGCCTGGAAGCGAGCATCGGCGCAGAAGATGGTTTCTACGACATGGGAGGGAATTCATTAGCTGCTATCGAGCTGGTAGCCCGCGCACGCAAGCGTGGCCTGGAGATCACGGTGGCAGATATTATCCGTCTTCAGAATCCACGACAGATTGCGCGATGCACTGTGGAGAGCAAAGAATCTCACGAGATCCCGCCATTCTCTCTTCTTGAGAATATCGAACAGAGTTTATCTACCGCGACCGGCCAATGTGGTATTGAAAGAGAAATGATTGAAGACATTTACCCCTGCACCCCTCTACAGGAAGGCCTCATGCATCTGTCCATTGGGAATCCAGGAGCTTTCATAGGAACATACCAATTCTCATTACCTCCTTCCACCAACCTTCATCGGATTTGGGCTGCATGGGAACAGCTTTGGCTCGTACATCCCATCCTCCGAACACGCATCATCCAACTTCAGGATGGTCAAAAGCTGCAAGTAGTTACCAAGCACAACCCATCATGCAAGGATATTTCAACCATGGATGATTGTCAGCCCATGAACTTGGGAACTCCCCTTGCACGTGTGACATTCTATCCTGGACGAACTTCGAGGGGGTCGGACTCTGGCCTATTCCTCCTTACTATGCATCACGCTCTTTTTGATGGATGGTCATATATGCAGCTGCTCGAGGATCTCCAGGTGATTTACAATGGGGACATCCTGCCACCACGCCCTGCCTTCAATCATGTCATTGACTACATCTCCGAGTTGAGCATTGAGGAAAGTCGCTCTTTTTGGAGTAAAGAGTTCAATGACCTCGAAGCAAAAGTGTTCCCTGTCTGTCCCCGGCGGGCATCCGTCGAGCCACATTGGCAAATCAGAAGCCAGCAAATCACTCTGGGCAAGTCAGATACGAACTGGACTCTCGCCAATAAAATCAAATTGGCGTGGTCTCTTGTTATCTCTTCCCAAACTCTCTCACATGATGTGGTTTACGGATTGACAGTCTCGGGCCGGAATGCCCCAGTTCCAGAGATCGATCGTATTGCTGGGCCAACTTTTGCAACATTCCCCTTCCGCACGCAGCTTGATGACGATATATCGGTGGAAGATATGCTGATTCAAATGCGACAGCACGATGTCTCTATCATGCCATTTGAGCATATTGGTCTCAGGCGTATCGCGGAGTCAAGCCCAGACGCGGCCTTGGCTTGTGGATTCCAGAATCTTCTCACCATCAGGTTGCAATCCCTTCAAATTCCTCCTGGTGCCTTGATTGCGTTACCCGAGAATGAAGACTATGACCTGAAGTTTGCGTCATATCCCCTGTCAATCGTGGCCCAACAGGAAGGTGAATCGCTAGAGGTCAAGGCCGTCTTTAACAACTACATTATGGGCCCTGATAAGGCTGAGGCGCTCTTAGAGCAGTTTGATACTTTGTTGCAACGAATTCTCCAGGGGCCCAGAGCAACAATGAGGGACCTAAGAAGCCACCTTTCTCCCGAGTGGCAGCAATTGGCGGCGATAAACAAAAAGAGTCTACCACACATGCATTGCCTGCACGATGTCATCCAGGGCTTCGCTGTCACTCAACCGAACTCAGAGGCTGTCTGCGCGTGGGATGGCTCTCTCACGTATAGAGAACTTGTCGCGTCCGCGCGGAGATTGGCAGATCATCTCCGGTCTTTCGGATCAGGGTCGGGACCCGGTGCGGTCATCGGGATCTGTGTGGAACGATCGAAATGGTTCCCCGTCGCCATCCTGGGTGTCTTGATGTCTGGAGCTGCCATGGTTTTGTTAGAACCTAAATTCCCCACACAGCGTTTACAGCATATCTTGCGAGACGCCGGTGCGCGAACGATGATATGCTCTCTGATATTCCAAGAGAAGTGCACGGGGTTAGTCGATGACACGTTGGCTCTGACCGCCGATATCATGACCCAAGCGGACTACGATGCTTGGACTCCATCAGCGGTGTCTCATCAAGATCCAATGTATGTTGCCTTTACGTCTGGATCAACCGGTGCCCCAAAGGGTGTTGTGATCGAACACGGCATGGTATATTCGATGCTCGAGGCACATAAGGACATCATCGGCGCATCAACTGCGTCCCGTGGCTTACTATTCGCCTCGCCCGCTTTTGATATCTGCCTTGCTGAGATTGTACTTCTGCTGGGTGTGGGAGGATGTGTCTGTGTGCCCTCCGAAGCTCAACGTATGAACAGCCTGGCGAAAGCAATGACAACCATGCAGGTCAATATGGCCATGCTGACCCCTTCGGTGGCACGAACCCTTTCGCCAGCCGCAGTCCCTTGTCTCCGAACCCTGATTCTTGGAGGAGAGCCCCCATCAGCCTCTGATCTGGCGACATGGGCTTCACGGGTCCAGCTGCATCAATCGTATGGACCTGCTGAGTGCGCTATGTACACGACTACCACACCGCCATTGGCTCCCAGTTCAAATTTAGGCAACGTCGGGTCTTCCTCAAACGCGTCCTGTTGGATTGTTGACCCAGACAACCATGATGACCTTCAGCCTCTGGGCTCGGTGGGAGAACTACTGATCGGTGGGCCCATTGTTGGAAGAGGGTACATCAACCGAGTCCAGGAGTCTGCAGCGGCCTTCATTCGTGATCCTGTCTGGAGCAAGAAATTCCCCTTCTTGCGAGGAGACCGACTTTACAAGACTGGAGATCTTGCTGTCTTGAACGCGGACGGGTCTTTAAATTTGGTCGGCCGAAAGGACACACAGGTCAAGCTCAACGGGCAGCGTATTGAGCTGCATGAGATTGAACATTGTGCTGAGAGATACCAACATAGTACCGCGGTCATTGCGGAATTGATACAGCCCGCCGGCATCCAGAGACCTAGACTTATCATGTTCGTTTATGATCCTGCAACGGTTGAAACGATGGTGGGCATCAACCCTGCTTGCCATGACTACCGGGAACTGTTTCTCTCGCCGTCAACACAAAATCAAGCTTACCTTGAGGGCATAAAACATCATCTCAATCAACACCTTCCACCGTATATGATACCTTCCTTCTTCCTTCCACTATCCCGTCTACCACTTAGCCCAAGTGGCAAGGCTGACCGCAAGACACTACGCCAGATTGCATGCAAGATGGAAAGAGAGACATTGGAGATGTACCTGAACAATCCAATTGTAGAAAAAAGGGATCCAACCACAGAGCAAGAACGATTCGTCCGTGCAAGCTTTGCCACAGCCCTGTCATTAAATGAGGAGGCCATTGGGATGGACGATAACTTCTTCGCTTTAGGAGGCGATTCCATCACTGCCATGCGGGTTCTCACTTTGTGTCGAAGAAGAAACATGGCCATCTCGATGCAGGATTTCCTCTCAAAGAACACTGTATCCTTGTTTTGCACACATGCTGTTGTGATTCAGGGCCAGACCGTTGGTTCCAAACGCCAGAAACTCCTTAATTCACAAGACTCGGCTCGACGTGAAGATCAACTTGTCCAGTTTGAGCACATCGATTACCAGCTAGACATGATTCGATCTCGGTTGAATTTGTTGAAATCGGATTCCATCGAGGAAATCTACCCCTGCTCTGCTGCCCACAGTGGTTTGTTAGAGCTCTACACATCCAATTACACGAGCACAGCAATTTTCGAAATCTCTCCTACGGGATCAGTTACTGCTATGCAGGTTAGTAATGCTTGGAGTCAACTAGTGCACCGTCATATCGCCTTGCGGACGGTCATCATGAAAGAGCCAAAGGTTCACGCAGATTATCTCCATGTGGTACTAGATAAGGGCCCAGCTCAAATTGTTGCTCTTCCTCGCAGCAAGAATGCCCTTTCGGAACTGAAAAGCCTCGAACCAGTGAAATCCTGGGGCTTGTCCCCACCACACCGGTTAATCATAGGTCAGAACGATTCTGGGGCGGTCTTCATGAGGCTGGAAATGGGCTGTGCCTTGATTGATGCTTTTTCCATGACCATCCTACTAGAAGAGCTTTCTCTTGTCCTCCAGGGTCAGCACTTGCCACAGAAAGGGATCTCGTATTGTCAATACCTGTCCCATCTGCGCAGCCAGTCACCTGCAGAAACACTGCAATACTGGTCACAGGCGCTTTATGGAATTTACCCTTCTCACCTGCCCAGAGTACCTTCCAAGCAGGACTCACTGCCTGAAGCTCGCTCGCAGAGCCGGATCCTCCCATTTGTGCAATCAAAGCGTCTAGATTCCTTCTGGCGCTCCAATAATCTCACCATCACCAACGTTTTCCAACTTGCATGGGCCTTAACCCTCACCCACTATACCAACTCCCGCGATGTGTGCTTCGGAACCATCACCTCTGGGCGTGATATACCCCACCTTGAAGTATGGAACATCGTTGGATCGTTCTTCAACGTTCTTCCGTGTCGAATTGCGATTGATCCCACGCGGACGGTGCTAGATACACTACGACAGAACCAGGAGGATATTCAGGGTCGCAACGACAACCAAAACTGTTCAATACCAGATATGATCCGCAAATCTGGAATAAGGACCTGGGACAAAGATCAGCAGTTGTTTAATACGGTTCTGACGGTGCAAAACCCATTCTCAACACAAGCATCCCCTGCGAAGGACGGGAGCAACGAGATCGATATTAAACTCATCGATTTGGACGATGCAACAGAGGTAAGTGTTTTTCGAACTAGAGTCACGATCAGACTGAGTAATGTCAATTGTTTTAGTACGACCTTTGTGTGGCTATCCTTCCCTCCCCTTCCCACTTCAAGGTGGAACTGCGCTACTGGTCAACGACAGCATCCGAGGAATATGCCTCGGATATCATGGATCGCCTTTTCGATCAGCTGGAACAAATTGTGCATCATGCGACCAAGCCATTGAGCGTCATCACCAGCATTGGATGACAACCATATCTCCCTCGATTACGTCCCTTTCACAATCGCCCCTTTGATAAGAATACACGCGTCAAGGTCGATTATAGCGTTCTCTTTTGATATTCCTACGTTTTGTACTTTCTGATACTGTCGTGTCCTTGTTTAAATTGTCATCTAAGCCACCTACAATGATATAAAGCTTCACATAGTAGATACAGTTGGTTTACAGGACACATCCAAGCACTCCAAACATCAGATTCCAAGGCAGTATCATATCCTAGAACTGGTCTAAAATAATAGAAGAGAAACAACAAGAAAACAACACATAGACAGCCACCGACATTGAGGTCAATGGATGGATGAAACGCCATTCGCACCCGTTTTCCATACCCGAACACGGTTCTAAGACTGGTTCCAACTCAAATTTTGAGGGAGCCCGTCGCGGAAGGGAAAATATCTCGAAAAATGAAAATCCATGTACACAAAAGAAAAGGGGAAGAAAATGGGAAGACAGATAAAAAAGGGCAGGGGGGCACAGGTTGAGGGCATCAGTCCGGGCGAGTACCGCCGAAAATCAAAAGACAAAAATATCGTTGCCCCATAGTTCGCTATGCCATCGCAGGAGAAAATAAACGGGAAAATCACATGTCCATCAGCAGTCCATCTCCTCCGAGACGTTATTTAGTAGAATTGCTTCGATGCATGATCTGTACATTGGTTGCACTGGTACCACTGCCGACCGATCGTCGTCGCGGGCGAATCTCACTGCCGCTTCCGCTCCGTCGCCGCCGACCAGTATTGCGAATCGAGCCTCGGCGTCGTGTCTGGAGCAAACGGACGTTTTCACGTTAGAATCACGCTGGCTGTACATGGGCGGACGTGGTCTCTTAGCAAAAGACAATGACGAGGGCGATAGGGCCAAACAAAAACGAAGTAGTTCGCATAGGAATGCACGTATCTGGGCAGGAACGCAGATCAGAGATGCACTGGGCTTACCGAATTAGGTGTGCCTTCGCGGCTGGGCCGATCCTTGGAAATATCGGGATCCTCTTGCAACTTCAGGGAGTTCAACCGCTTTTGGCTCTCGTGGGTCATGGCCTCCACCTCGTCGATCGGCTCGGGCACATCAAGAGCGGGAGGTGGTGGTGCGGGAATGCCATTCTTCCGGTCTTTGGCCTGTTGTTCAATCACATCCCACCGGTCCGTGCGAGACTTTTCGCGTTGGTCTGCGTTGTTCTGGTGCTCCGTGTAATCGTGAGAGCATTCATCGAAGAGTTGCGGGTTGATCTCCATGAACATCTTCATGGCATTGTATACCATGCTGTGGATTGTTCTGAACGATGCGTTAGCTCATGTCAAAGTTAGTAGCATATGCAGATCAAACTCACCGGTTCCAGTGTCCCTTCGAGTTCTCGTAAAGTGGGGCAAACATAAGTGGGAGAATGGTCTCCACATTGTCGCTCACAAGATTACAGAAGTACTCGTTGTTCCAGAAGTACAAAGCACGCTCAGCGACCTGGAAATGGGGGCTAGCAACAGACTTCGCCAACTGATTGAACAGAGGCTCTTGGACTTTGGCGAACTCGCCCGGATCCATCACCTCGAAAATGTCTTCCACCTCATTCAGGTACATAACTTCCTTGGTGCTGTTTGTCTTGGGCCAGAAACGCAGTAAGCCGAGAACAACCTAAACATAGTGGTTAATACTAGAGCTATATTGGAGAAAGATAGATGAGGCCTTACATCTTCAGTCAATGAAGAGTCCTTCTCCAAAAATTGCACAATACAGTAGGCCAATTGCGGGTGGTACATGCTGAGACTCTTCACCTTGTGCATGGGCAGGAGCACTCTGGTCAAGAAGAGCTTGTGTTCCTCCTTCAGCGGCAAGGCGAACCCGTTGATAATGGAGCCCAGAATCTCGAGCAATTCAGCAATTCCGTTATGGCGCTCTGTCTCGTACATGAACTGGAAGAAGACGTTGTTGATGGATCGGCGGATATATGACCGTAAGTTCAAGAACTTTCCATAGATGCGATGCAGGGTTGTCTTGAGGAAATCACGCTCCCGAGGATCTTCCGAGTCAAAGAGGTCCAACAGCTAGATGGAGCATTAGCTTGCATTAAACATCAAAATCCAGCACCAGAAAACATACCGAAAGCACGAACTGATGGTCGATATAACCCTTGGCAATGTTCGTGTTGAAATCCTGGCTTTCGATGAATCTCAAGAAGAATTCATATACGACCTGAATATGAGGCCAAGCGACTTCCAAGACTGGCTCATCCTCTTCCGGGTCAAATGCTTCGCCCTGGGGCGTCATAGGCGGGGGAATAGGACGGAACAGGTTCTTGGCGAACATCTCCACCACGCGGGGGTACATGGGCTCAGTAATGACCGACCGATTGTTGGCAACATAATCTAAGAGTTCGTGCAGTGCCAGCCTCTTGATCTCCTTGGACTTCATATCAGCCGTCGGATCGTTGAAATCGAAGATGATGTTGCACTGGTCGATCTTTTGCATGAACAGATCTTGGCGTCGGTTGGGAGGCACTTCATGGAATCCGGGCAACTTTTCCAATTCTCTCTGGCGCTGATCGGAGATGTCGAATCGCGACGAATGTTGGCGCTTGGGAGTCCGGATACCTTCCGACATGTCCTTAGGAGTTGTCTGTAGGCGGTCGAAGACATGAGACTTCCTAGGAGGTGCGAGATCTCCGGGCATCGTTTCGGCAGCGCCAGGAGGGGGGACATGCTATAGAATCCACCTGTTAGCAAAAGCAAACCGTCACCAAAGTGAAGCGACTCAACTTACCGGTGCGCTTGGGCTAATGATGACGCTGGGAGCCGCCGGCTGGCCTTGTCTATTTGGTGTTCCCGGTCCATTGCTTACAGGCTGTCCTGGGGCGCCCGGTTGGGGTATATAGTGTTGAACCGGGGTGCCAGGGTGAGGTGCGCCCGCGGAAGGGGTACCGGCGGGGGAAGCGTTGTCCGGCGATTTGTTTCGCGAGTCATTGAGAGAGGTTGTGGAGGATGTGGGTGTCCCTTGGTTGGGGGAAGTAGACTGTTGTGTGTTGGAAATGCCGAGGGACTGATTCTGTGAGGTGGAGTTGGAGTCTTTCTTTTTCGAGGACTTGTTGTCCTTCGCCCGCGACAACTGGTCGTGCTAGAAGCAAGGCACACAATGTTAGACGATTTGCGAGATGAATACGACAGCACCATCTGCAGGGTGGAGAAGAGATTAAATTGGCAGAAGTGATGGTGCGGTGAGGTTCACTTGGGCAGGATAGGCGGGTAACTCACCACTCTCTGTCTGAAACCCTTCATTTTGACGACTGTGTAGATGGCCACATGTACTCGGCTAGGTTTCTTGGTGCTAGTGCAGCCAGGCGGCGCACTCTAGCCGGAGTGAATCGAGGGGAGCCAACGGGGATAGCCGCTCAGGAAAGCCACGAGGGGGGAGGGAAGTGTTTGGATCGACCTAATAGGAGAATATTATAAGCGGTCCGAATCTCACAGCATGTAAGACGGTTATTGTGAAGGGAAGCAGTGCTAAAATGCTGATATCAAGCCCCGGCAATGCGTAGGGAAAAAAAACTGGGGTTCAATTGCAACGGCGTCAGGCGCTCCAAACCATGTGCAGTCGCAGCACGCGCACGGAGCAAGATGATGCTGGGAAGAAAGGGCCAATACAGGCAATGGGAAATGGGTGTCCGATCAAACGTACTTCCGGAATGTTGAGTTGGGCAATTGACAGATCGAGTGGGAAACTGCTTGGGGAGAGGTGTTATAGGACAAGCTTGGCCGGCGCTGGAGCTGGAGGATCTCCGTGTCGCTTAGTGGCAGGCTGGGAGCGGGGGGTTTGGAAGTACCAAAGGGACGGGCACTCAGATCGCAGCCCACTGCGATAGCACAAGACTCACAATTTAACTAGCAAGAGGCAAAGTCGCCGGTGTACAAAAGACCAAATAAAGATGATGGCGTTGGGTTGTGGAGAGGAGGGAGGGAAGTGGATTGTTGTTGAGGTGTAGGGAAAGGCGGGCTGGTTCTCCTGGCTGCGATGGTGATGGGAGGGGGAACCACGTCTAAGTACTATGTGGGGGAGACACTACGTTTTTTTTAAAAAAAAAGTGAGCTGAATCTGTTGATGCTTCAGTTTGATAAAATGAATTTACTTCGACAGTTACAATTTTTCTCCCCTCCTCTTCTCCTGACACAACTTTGGTATGCTTTTCCCCGTTTGTTTCAAGTTATGCTTATGTCATTATACACGTGACCACCAGGGGGACTCGAATTTCAGGCACAAAATCCATCAGCATTAAACTTGGTAGGCAGGCATCAAGTCTGGCAGCTGTCCATAGAGGATTTATCAGTACACATTCTAAGCGCGAGATTGCTTCCCAGCGTGCTATTTTTATATTCAAGACGGGGGTTGGGGGCGCGGAATTGAGGTACTCGGTGTGTATAGCAGCGAAGATAGATGTATCCTTCAGATGACTCTAATTTACACTGCGATGTCGCACGTTTATAATCAACAAGAATATTGTGTATGTATTTCGAGATGTCTTTTTAGGTGTATACGAATTCGGTGAAAAAAAGCATACTTTGTGTAAGAGACTTCCCTATATCCATAGATATAACCAGGGATCACCTTATACTCACTCTTGTATTACCTTTTTTCAAATTGTCTACAGCTTCTCCTCGATTTAATCTTGGATATATATTACAATGTATTCAAAGGAGTAATTTCTTCCCAATATCAGAGCAATAATCTCATTGTACCGTCACTAGAAGACCCCCGAAGGCCGCACTAGGGCATGAACAGCTATATTGTGAGTATAAATACTGATCTTTAAATTATCACTGGCTCTTACTTTGCTCCTTCATTATCACCACTCTCTCACTCTTATTCCCAACAGTCTCAAATCTCACAATGGCGAACTTTATCATGCCTCGGATCACTTGTCAGGACACAGACACACTATCTTCGGACGAGTTGACCAACACCCCACGCAAGCCGTTCCACGGAGTCATTCAACTGAATACCCTTTGGTCACTGCCGTCTTTTCGCTACGCAATCCGCGAATGGGAGACCGATGGGTCCCTTCAGGTTGATTGCTATATGTTGAAGGCTTCGTCTAAGAGGTGTTCTCTTTGCAAAGTACGTGACAGCAATGTGATCGGGTACAGTTTGATTATCCCCGAGCCCCTTCTAGCAAGGCACACTTACATCAATTGGGATCTTTTACAGATCCCCTGGGGTATTCGGGGGCATGTTTTCGAACCGATGGCCTTAATTGAATTCGTGAAAAAATGCTGGATGGACTGCGATGATCAATGGCGGGCAAATGCCGGCCCAGAAGCTGAGTGGCCTGAAACGTTCATCGACGAATTTGCCGCCGCTGTCAAGAGCCACTGTGGTGCCTTCGATGACCTGGTCGAGACTCATCGCAAGGCTCTGTGGGTATTTCTTAATCTGTGGGTAGGAAGCTAAGGCTGGCTATTCTGCTTGGTGCAATGCTAGGGAGCACATGATCCGTCCCAACACTCATCGTAGTGACAAGCTGCATCTTCAGTATGCTTTCCGAGCTACGGGGTACCTACGTCTTCGGATGGGCGAAGAAGGATCTGTCCACTGGGCCATAGCAATTTGGTCCTTCTGTCAGGGTATCAAAACCTCGGTTGAAGTCTATGTCAAGACAAAGGACGCCTATCTCATTTACACACACGCCTACTACATCGAGGAAGAGTTTTCTCTGGAGCCTTCTGAGTTTTCAAGCAATCGAGTTGCTTTACCTAACCCTTTAAGGTGAGCTTTCGTGACTATATCTCCTAGGATATTTCACGCTTTGCTTTTTTTGGTTTTCGGCTTTTTTTTTTTTTTTTTTTTATGAATTCTTTGCGAATTTTTGCTTTGCGAGGTATCCTGTTAGTGGCGTGGTGAGGCGTCCATTGACCAGGACCTCTTTTATGTTTGCACGCCTGGTTCTGCGGTTGTTTCAGAGCCATTACATAGCATCTCGAATACATTGTTTTTAGCAAGTTTATCTTTTTCCATATCGTTTAGAACTTTTGAGTCTACCAAGCACAAATGATCTTCATCTTTACCAGCGAAGACGTGATGTTTACAGTAAATAATCCCGACAGTATAAACGGTAGCAACACCTAGAGGCGAAGATGAAAACATCATAAATGACTAGCGGGACGTCATGATAGTGTTTATACGGTACTATTCAAGGGAGATACCAAAAACAACAGGGTTGATGATAGAAATATAAAGCCCAAAGAGAAGAGACAATAATCTTAGAGCCAAATAGCGGTCCTGCAGCAGGGTAGTGAAATATGGCAGCTGCATGAAGAGGAGAGACGAAGCTGATACAATTTCGTACATTCCAATATTAACCAATCTGCCAGCCTCGATAAAGATTCTGGAATATTTTGGCTTGAGCTCTTGTTCAATATATCTGGGGATGTGGATTACCTCACTACTTAGACATGTGAACCCCCGTTTAGCAAAGACAGGGATTCGTGGAAGACAGCAGTGAGCTAGTGTTGCAATTAATGTATTCTTCATTTCATCCCATTGTGCTTGAAATACCGTCGTAGGACATGGTGCTGGGACTTACGTCCACCCTAGATGATACGCTGAATAAATTGACCCATCTATAAAAAATTACTTATTGAAGAGGGGAACGCTCAAGGCTGTATGCTCTGCGGCATATGGGTCGATTCAGCACCTGTAGTTCAGCTTCATACCCGACTTTGCATACAAGGGAACCCAGGGGTGCCACCCTGGAAGTGGGTTCAGAGAGGTGTAGGAGTATGTATTCTCAATCTGTATCTATCTGCTATTTGTAACCTCGTAATCTCAATGTTTACATAACAACACATGGTAAAAGAAGAAGAAGAGGCAAGGGCAAATGCGCAGTGGGGAGCCTATTTCCCCACTACAATATATACATTGTTATTCCCCGTGATTCATCCATATTCATACAACCTCATTGGGATAACATTAGAACGAGTGGCAGTGCAGCCACTAAAGCTCTCTTCAAGCTCAGGCGCCTGGTTGCCACTGCACTGTTTTTCTCGCTTGAGCTACTATCACCGGTGGCTGTACTTTCCGCAGCGTAGGTGTAGTAAAGACTAGCCGCTGTCTGTGTGCCTAAGCTGTCAACAGCAGTGGTAGTAGGCAAACTATCCGCCGAGCTAGTCGACCATGCACTTGCGAAAGGGTAGAATCCTGTCGTTTGGGGATTGGCGCTACAGTAGGCGCTCGAGACCCCCTTCACGTAACTCTCAGGGAACCAGTGGTAGCCTCGGTGGAAGTTAGCTTTTCGATCAAACCAAGAGAATAGAATAATGGCAGGACATGCTATGGGAAAGACTCACCCTCAATGCCTCCATGTTTTCTAAAGCATTCCTGGCAACCGGCTGCCGAGTCAAAGAAGGGATATATGTCACAATAGCATTGCTGCTGGACGTCCCAATCACCCGAATACAATTGAAGGCCTGAAAATGTGCCGTTGGTATTTTGGAAGTAGCAATTAGAATTAATCGCCGCTTGTCGTTTACACGGAGCCTCGTCGATTAGATAGGTTGGCTTAGAGGAGATGGTTTTAGCCGTGTCATCCCTGCGGAAATTGTGGTGTGGCAACGGGTTATACGGCAGGTAGCATTCGTTGTAGAGATCAATGTCAAGGTCGGTGAGACCAGACTCCCCGGATGAGACAACATAGAACCTGGAGATATAGGCGCCGTTTGGGAACACTGGATATTCGGAGCCGGTCTCCGAAGCAGCCGTGCTAGAGGATGTGCTGCTACCCAGAATGGAGTCGTACTGGTAGGTTGAAGTGGGTTCCAGCGAGCCGGTTGTTATTGAGGTAGAGGCAGTCATAGCCATAGTCATGGGCGAAAGGGGTGATCCGTTGAAATGACTTCCAATTTTGGAAAGAGGGCCTCGGGAATAATGCTTGGCAGGGCTCGACCAATCAAAGATTGTGATTGGCAGGGGTCTTCCCGAAAAGGAAGTGATCTTGTTTTTGGCTAATATGATATGTTCACAATAACGTATTGCCTTTGTATGGATCGAGGACATATGATGTTAGTAGGAGTCGAGGCTGATGACGAAGCCGATTCATTATTTACTGCATTCGAAAGCAAAGATACTAGCCGAAAAGCCAAATAGGGGGCCTGCAGAAAACTATGTACTGAGATATATATATATACATTGGAGATGCAGACCTCATTGTGTAGCATAAACCTGTGATTAACCACATCATCAGCGTTTGGGAATATAGGATATCTTATTAAACTGTTTTGAGCCTCTCAAATGTCAACCCAACGAATTCTCTTAAAATGTTTCTTCAAAATGTGCTTAGATGGTACACCTTGGCTGGTGCCCCGGAGGTGATGAGTCAGCGTGACTTCCAGCTTTGGGCGCACTAACCGCTTGTGGAATGTAGACTCGATTCTTTCCCTAACCCATAAGGATATCGCTGGCGAGCCTTTAATTGTGGCGAAGGCGAAGAAAAACACAGAACCCTATACAGACAGGTTTACTGTGTGGGAAGCGCTCGAGAAAAGTGGCAGTGTTGCCTTTGATCGCATTTGCGCGATCTCACCCAATAGCAAACCAAAAACAGCTGCAACCAACCTCAATTGAGATTCAAAGCTAGTGCGAATGATACTGCAACTACAGTATCCACAAGTCTGGTATAAAATCAACCAGCATGGACGACCAACGGGGGTCTAGAACTGCCCCCTTTTACGCCGTGCCATCCCGTCGGCTCGTCAGTGTTGAACACCCCGCCGTGGTCCGCAATGTCGATAAGGCGATCGAGACCTTACAAGGAGACTCCGGAATAAAAACAGTGAGAATACTTCTTCCTCTGACGGGGTATTTGAATATATGCTGATATACTGCAGATCCTGGACCCGGCCAAAGGTGGCACACTAGCTAATCTAGTGTTGCGACCAGAAGATGCCATGGCTCGATCGGTCCAGTCAACGAACATTCAATCGAACAATGTTCTGCTCAAAGTAACTGTTCCCAAGCGGACAGGACGGAAGCGCAAGAGAGGCTCGAACGAGCCTTTCGCAAACGCACCAGATCCAGGAGCATCCGAGCCGGCCCCGCGACGGACCGCGAAAGATCTCTTGCGCAGTATGAGTGATAATCCTTCCAGGTACCAGATTGAACCAGTTGGGAGGGTTGAACGGACACATGTGTTCCGAGGTAAGATCACTACTCCCATGACCCATTGCCAGTTTGCTAACGTCTGATGGTAGGAATCCCTGATTTCGTCTACTCGACTACAGCGAGTTCCTTTACGAACCGGTTCCGAGACCAAATTCTTCCATTTGACTGTAAGCCCGCTTGAAATACACCTCACCAGAGATATACTAACAAGCGATAGTCGACAAAATGAAACAATTTGATATCGACATGGCCAAAGGCGCTGCCGAGAACGCAGATCTCATCCCACCACCATCATTCAGCCACGGAGACGTCCCATTCCACTACATGTGAGAGCCACTACACCTAAAACACCAAACCAAGACTATCGGACCACTAACGTATCCCTCCCAGCTACCGTCAAAACCCAACAGTGAAACAAGCTATCGGCCGCTCCGGCAAACTAGAAACCGTGAACACCCAAACGGCCAACAAAATCTTAACTCACCTAGTCCCCTACGACATACCCAAAGTACCATCCGAGCCACGGGCAGACATGCTCCCAATAAGCGTACTGGACGCAGGCATGCTCCGCACAATCGCAACACTCAACGCCCTCTACGAAAAACAACCCGCCTGGACACGTCGTGGACTCCGCAACAACTTAACAACTGACGAAGACCGCCTGAACCTGCGCCACGCGATTCCATACGTGGGGTACATTTTCCGATCCGGCCCATGGCGCGACGCAATCATCAAGCTGGGGATCGACCCACGCACCTCACCAGAGTACCGCCACTACCAAACCTTCATGTTCCGCCTCCTGGCACGAGAAGCCGAGCTTGCGCGCGACGGCGGCGGGGGCCGACGTCACAACGTTCCCCGACCAAGTGACCAGCGCGTAGTCGAAGACGAAAACGCCAGCGGGCCGTCAACGGGCCACATATTCACCGGCAAGCAACCTTTTGCACAAGACGGACGGATCTGGATGGTTGGTGAGATTCAGGACGCGCAGCTGCGGGCAGATTTGTATCCCCCCGATGCGGGACCTGGATTCCTGCGCAGCGAGTGCGATATCGTTACAGATGGATGGTTCGGGAATGGTACACTTGCGAAGGCGAAGACGGTTATGCGACATAAGATCCAGGCATTGATGGAAGGGCGGGAACCGGTTGATGAGGATTATACGAAGATCATGCAGCTTCCTGCGCATGCGCGGTCTGAGGCTGATTTCCCGCTTTTCACGCTTGATCCTGATGTTGCGACGCAGAAGGAGATCAGTCTTGCTACGGAGGTTCGGGCGATTATTCGCAGTTCGCCGATTTGGCGGAATTTGTCGGCTAATGCTGGGTTGGTGAGGAGGGATGTTGGGGAGGGCCGAGGGAAGGGTAAGGGGAAGCGCGCTTTGAAGGGGAAGAGTGTTGAGCCGGAACCGGAGCCTGAGCCTGAGCCTGAGAAGGGGGATGAGGAGAGTGAGGGTGAAGAGGAGGAGATTCAGCGAAGGGAAATGTTGGCTGCTCAGGTTGCGGATGCTGCTGCGGCGAGGGACGCTGACGAAGCTGCTGATGAAGCCGGTGATGACGATGAGGATGGTGATGACAGTGATGATATGGACGAAGACGAGGACGAGTAACGGAAACTCCGAAATTATTTGAGGGTTGGCTACACCTAGAGAATTGGTACTTTGTGCTCAAGATATTCATCAAAAGAATCCATTTTTATCGCCAAAGCCATGGGCAGACTTGGAATACATCGTGAAGCATCAGACATGAAAAGACAATAACTCATCAATTAGACGGAATAAAGAATGCCAATCCGAGGGGTCACAATAGTGAAGCAAAAAATATGCATAATTCGTAGCTAACGTTATACCAAAACACCCAATAGACTGGACACCAGTGTCCAAAAAAGAGACAAATACCAAGCAAAAGAATGATAAACAACCAAAGGATGAAGATGAAGCAAATAGGTATCGGTATTGGGGCCAAACCCAGGCCAAAGAACAGCGCCACTGAACCAGATGCAGATGCAGATGCAGATGAAAAGAATGACGACCAGGAAGATCAAAGAGCAGAACTAGTGCTATCGGTTGAGTCCTCGAGATTTTGCTGCTTGGTTTCAGCAGGCGCGGGAGTAACAGCATCCAAAACAGAAGCAATGGAGGTAGTGACAAGGGCCTGCTGGCTCTGCGAAAGAGGCGAAGAAGGCTTCTTGAATTCGGGCGCACGCTCTTCATCATCATAGACAATTGTGTATGAAAAGGCATTGCAGTCCTTGGCATAGTATTCAGCAGCATTCAGCTCACCGAGCGGAGCACGGGGCTCATCTATCTTTGGTGACTTGCGAGCGGCGGCAGCAAGAGTTGCAATGGATTCGCGGGCGCGGGGGAGTTCGATACCCAGCTCGTGAGGGGGGATGTTCTCCTTTCCACGGGTGGAGGTGTCAGGCTTCCCCTCGTCGTCGCTGATATCCAGGACAGTGGTCGAGTGTTGCATCAGGTTGGTCATTTCTTCCTGCTCGGTGTCGACGTGGATATCGAAGGACCACGAGGCGGGGGCCTTGGGAGCAGGTGCAGACTTGACAGTTGTGGATTGGGCAAGGACGGAGGCAAGAGAGAAGGGGCGAGCGACGCCGCGCTTGCTATATTGCTCCGAACGGGGCTTGGCGATGAGCGAACGGCGAGTGGCTGACTTGCTCGACTTGGGTGGTGGGGAGCGACCAGCGGGCTTGAGAATGGGAGCTGATTTGGGGGTTGTAACTGAGGGGATCTTCGAAGGGGTCGAGAGACGGGAGGAGATGTTGATGCGGGTGGAAAGAGCCATGCGGGATGTTTTGATGGGTTTGGACGCGCTTTTGTCCTCGTCATCGTTGAATGAACGTTTGCGTTTTGCTGAGAAGCTGGCTGGGTTAACGTTCTCGGAATCGGCGTCAATGAAGATCGAGCTCTTCATTGGGGTTGACTTCATAGACATGGTACCTGGTTGGAATTGTGAGCTAAGCCCTCTTGGGAACATCAAAACATGGGTTATCACGTACCATTTTGCTGGTTTTGACGATTAAGTTTCGATCGCATCAACGGCATGTCCAAACAGCCCAAAGGCTGACGAGTAGGAGTCATAGTGAGAGTGGCCATGGTGAAGGAAGAAGGGAGAGAGAGGGATGTTTTGTTTTGGTCAGCGCCAAGTGGGGGGAGCCTTGGAGGATTGGCGGTCTACAATAGGCACTAGACAGGCCGATCGCACGATTCAAAGAGAAAGAGGGTAATTGTGTAAGACAGATGAATCAAAAAAGAAATAAAATGATTGAATGATAGGAATTGGTTGGATGAAATTCGGATAAATGAAGGAATGGGTAGATATGGTCGACACCGTTGAGAGAGAGAGAGAGAGAAGGGATGGATGACTCGGGGTAAAAGAGGTGCAGTGATGAGGTAGATATAATAACTTGCGAACGTTAAAGAGCTTAGGTTCAGAGGGTTTAGAGGCAAGGAGCAATGGAGGACATGAGGAGTCACAAATGGAGGGCGAAGGGAACTATTTCAAGGCCTGCATACTCCGTAAAAGCGCGTCGCGTTCACGTTGTGGAGGCCGGATGGGAATTCGAAAAGTGGCGTTTATGCAATTCCCAGCACAATCCAATTGACTTTCATTCTTACCTCGTGTCTGTGGGAACAATAGGATGTAGATCAACTACGCGCTTTTCCGTATACTATGGAGACTATGGATACTCTGTATGCTATATGGTCTTCATAGCACAGTGCCATTGTTCTATAACGTTGTACACAATTAATTATTCCTAATTTCCCTAGAATTGCCCATAGAAGTAAAATCATTACTAAAATCACCAGGGCAAAAGGTCAAAAGTTCAAAAGTTCAATCCCCCCCCACTGAGCATTGCATGTCGCGTATCCCTTGGACGCGTCGGTCAGCAGCCTACCCGGTATCCGGTACTTGGAATCCCGCTACTAGCGCATACATAGCGTAAGTACCAAATACCTTGACGTCCATCACGTCCTCCACGTCTTGCACGTTCCTTCGCGCGCGACTTCGCGTTCACGTCTCTTCCTTGCGCACTGTGCACTCATTCGCGACCAACAGCGTCTAGAATTGCACTAAAAGTATGTCGCATGAAATGTCTAATGAAACTCTGCCAACACATCCGTCTCCATCCGCTATGCCCCATCCGGACTCAGGTTACCGGATGAAACCATGCATGCAGAGGCCGACCGGGGGCTGCTGGGGTTTGAGGTGAATGTGAAACATTGTACAGAGTTCTTTCTCAGCGGAGGGGTTGAGGGTGTCTGGGGGTGCCGGGCACCCAAGGCTGGGGAATGTTCTCTGGGCTGGCTGTCCAGGTGGTTCAAAGTAGAAATTCGCCCCTGAAGGCTGTTTCAAGACGTAAAATGATGGAGGGTCATTAATAGGGATATTATATGGACAGGGTTCCCAAGGTTTGATGGCACCTGCCTCCCCTGTTCCTCGTGGGCTCGGATTATTTTCCTCGGCGTATTGACCCTTGTTGCATTCCTCGCGAAAGCTGAGAGCCTATCCATTGTGCCATCGATGTATAATCGCGTCGACATTCTACTACAGAGCGGGAAATGCCGACCGGGATATTCCGTAGATTCTATAAGTCTCTCGTGATATAATAATGTAAATGATCGCAGACCTACCATGCCAATTACCTCAGATCTCATCCTCAAAAGGGATGCTGTCCATGGCACCCTGACGTTCCACAGCCCGAGCCGAGGCGCGCGCGGCCAAACGCATCGCCTCGTCCATGATAGTCTTGTACCGGTATGCCTTCTCATCATCCGCAACATCCTGCCCAGCCTTGCCCTCTCCGCGACGCTGCTCGCGCCATCGCGCCACCCTGACCGCGTAGGCACCAACGAATGTATCACCCGCGGCAGTAGTATCCAAGACCCGGGAGACAGGGGCGGCTGGAATCTCGTTGGTGAAGCGCTGTACTCCGTCACTGGGTCCAGAGGAGCCGCCGTCCGCGGCACTGTACCAAACGCCCTTCGCCCCGAACGTGATGAGGATGTAGGTGATACCCGATTTGTGGAAATACCGAGCGACCTTCTCCTTGCCATCCAAATCCTCCGCATCCGGAACCGTGCGAAGCAGTTGTTCCGTAGGGGGAGACATTAACTCAGCCTCCGTTTCGTTCAGGATCAAATGGTCGACAGCAGCGTATACATCCTCGGGAAAACCACCAGGCGGTGCAGGTGCCGGGTTAAGCATAACATCCGGACCGCACTCAATGCCACGTTTCCCAGCAGCGCGAGCCTTGGCCTTGTACGCTGCTATTTCATGTAGTATCCCGATAACCGTGTCGACCGGGATCTCGCCTTGCATAACAATGACATCGGGCACGGGCGCCGCTAGCGCCATGCCCAGCACTTCCGGGGTAGGCTGCATGCCATCGTAATTTGCACCAGGCGAGAAGAGAATGCGGTTCTCGCCACCAGCTGACGAGTCCACGATAATCACCGCCACACCCGTGTATGCGTTTTCAATGACTTTCACTCGGGACGGGTCGACTCCAGATCTCTCGAGGGTCGGCTTGAGCAAGGAGGAGAAGTGGCCATCCAAAGCTCCTACTGCGCCTATCATTTCGACATTGACGTCGCTTGTGGAGTTTGTGGTGTCTGTTGGCTTGGCTCGGGACATGCGTCCGCATGCCACGGCTTGGTTTGCGCCCTTGCCGCCCGCGCTGGTGAAGTAGGATGAGGAGGTGATTGTCTCGCCTGGGTCTGGGAATCGGGGTGTGACTGAGACCATGTCAGCATTGAGAGATCCAATGACTCGGATGAGAGGTGCCATGGTGGAGAAGGTGGTTCAGTTCGGTTTCTGGATCGTAGGTCGGGGGCTGGGGGTGTCTTTGGGTCGGGCTGGGGAGATGGGGAGAGTGTTGCAGTAGTATAGTTTGAAGGTAACGTAAATCCCGCAGATTCCAGGGTTGCAAATGCAAGGCAGCAGTGACACTCTGCAGCTTTCAGTCGGGCAATTGAGAGACAAGGTTTGAAGGAAAAAGAATTGGAATGACGTTTGGGCGGGGCAGATTAGAGGTGCGATATGTGGGGCCGACAGCTCCAGTTCCGTGGATCCGATCTACAGTGTATAGCCACGTCTATTTTGACAACACACATATCCGGAAAATCAAACAATGGTATCCTGCTTTCCAAAAGAACTCAAATTTCTTTTTTCTCATTCAACAATGTAGTAATACTGGTCAGAATCTATTCTTGTACTGCAATTTAGAAGCGAAGAAAGGGTAGGAGCTGCAGGGGATCAAACCCTACGAGTAAAAGTGGATCAAACTTCATACAACCTCGACCCTCACACATTTCTAGTGATAGACATAAAATAAATGGTGAGAGATTATAAGTTAAGATAGTTACAAAATAATACAAGATGCAAGAAGCCCAAAAAAGTGAACCCCCCCTAGGTATCGTCACCCCTGGGGTCGAACCAGGCAGCACTTAGCCCAACTGACCTCCCTGTCACGACCTGGTCAGCCATAGACACAGGATGCCACCATTCTGGAGAATTAGCCACTGAGCTATAAGGGGTTTTCTTTGAATATTCCTTCCGTTTGATTAAACTTAACACCTAATCCTCTCATATTAGTTATATCATTTTTACTTCCCACAAAGTGCTATTAGCTTTCCGATGTCCACTACACGCAATATAAGAGTAAATTAACATATATTGAAGTGAAAAATCCGAAACTTTCATAGGCTTGTGCATTCTTGAGGTTTAACTACGTATATGACCTACCTACTGACCTTTACATCAGACCGGGTCAATTACGGCTAGCTAGGCCGTTTCTAGGGAATGAATCAATACTAACATAGGATTGTATCAAAAAGCTGAACTTGCCTTTGCCCTTAGGAACGCATGCTGGTGCATTGTATGCCGTATTACGCATAAATGATTTGATCGAATACTTGCGCTCCATATACGCTACCACGATAGAAGGGGTAAGCCATCACAACCAAGTGTAATATCATTACCAGTTAGTAGTCCATAAATTAAACTTCGATTATATTAATCTCACAACTAATACATCATCAAAGAACTAAATCTCAGTATTTTCCGCATAATACTCAACTATTCATCACTGCGGCGTTCAGCCTAGAAAGGGCAGGGGAGACTAGAACGGCAGCCAGGGGTAGTATTGAGCGGGCTAGCCCTTGGTCTACTCCATTGCCGGCCAAGAGATTGCTGTTTGGACAAACAGCTCATTCTGGGCCTTTCTAGCCATTGCGTCGGCAGCCATATTACCTGGCACTTTAGAATGCCCAGGACTGAAGTGGAGCTTAACGTGCACGCCGAGCCGATTCAGTGTCTTTGAGTGCCATGTGATTACCTCCAAGTGACTGGCCATATCTCCATTTGGGTCATAAGGCAGACGTCCGGCAATGCGTCTAAGGGCATTGATATCATCTGTGAAGAGGAAGACTTCTTTAGTCATCCTGTGGCCATGGGATGTGGTCAGCGACGAATGCTGCTGAAAGAACGTCCTATTCACACGGGGGTTTTGTACAATAGTGGCCCTTTCTTGATCTATCTCGAAGATTGCCAGTTCAAGTGTGCATGCTATAGCAAAAAGCTCGACCGTGGCGCTACTCCCGACACTGACAGGGTAGTAGACCGACCCCCTTGCCCTCCCATTTGCTTGAAGAAAGGCTCTCCGGCCAGACAATGCCCGCAGCACCACATAACGAATGGATGGACGCATCGCAGAAGTAGGCCAGTCGTTTGCGTACGTTCCTTGGAACAGGTAACTGAAGAATCTTATTCGCAATGCCCCAAGCCCTATAGTCATCGACAAGGACGATGAACCCAAAAAAGTCGTGTCCTAACTCCCAAGAAGTTTTGTAGTGCGCTTTATCTTCGGGGTTGTCCTTCTTCTTTCTTTTCTTGTTCTGAGGTTCAGGCTGACCAGCGAGTTCGTCATCGGTTGAGACGAGTTTCCGTTTGCGACCGAGTCTGCCATTTGGGTGTGCAGGCGTATGTTCGGCTTGTCCCTGGACGAACTCAGGTGGGGGGTTCGAGGCTCGGACGCGTCGATGCGGGGGTCGTGGGGCTATGGAATGTCGGGGGTTTGGATGGGATTTCCCCCTCTTCAAGCTCCTCCAGACTGGAGGGGGACTCATAAGGTGCGGTTGTCGAGTCGATCAAGCTGGTCGTTGACCTGCTTGGGTTCGAGGGCGGTTCGGGCTGGCCGGCCGGAAATTGGCTCAGGCTGGCAGGTTCCTCGTTCAGGTCGGAGGTTGCTTCACTAGTGTTACTAGTGTTGGACACCAATTCATTCGTATCAGATATTGGTGTTTGTGGGCTGATGGTAGACTTGCTTGTCGTACTAGCCGCATGATCGGGGGCCCAAGAAGTGAGGGGTGTAGGCTTTATGGCCATCGGGGATACATGGCCTCTTTCAACGCTTATCGCAGGTGGACAACTGGCCGAGCGCATACGGCCTTTTGCCAGCGCCGGTAGTCGCATCTTGAGTGGTCTGCGGGCTTGTCTTGATATGAATGGTGTTTAAATGATAGTGCAAATGAGACGATTGGTTGCAGTAAGGAAATACACGGAGAAAGCAAGCGAAGCGAGGAGTAGGGAGAAGATAGAGAAGAGAAGGGAAAATGGAAGGAAAGGCAAAGGCAAACAAAAAACGAGCATCAATGCGACACCTGTTGCTACTGACGAACAGAAATTTTATCAAATTCCATGCAGATGCCAGGCAAACTCCGAGGGAATCCATGATCAAGCGTCCCGCCTAATTTGCCTATGTTCGATATTGTCCATGTCCTATAAACCAGCCGACCTTTACATGATTGCACGTAGAAAATTATAGCTACTTCATTTCTGCTTTGCATACAAAACTCACTGCGCGGTGTGTGACAGGCCTATCCAATTTAGTCTTCGATCTTTGAACCTAATCAGACAAGCACTCCAAACCATGGTGTATCTATTCCTGCCATACTCGTTTCCTCCTTCATATGTATCACTTTCCAGCACACCTTTGTTTGTCATGGCCTCTTGCTGATCGGGATATGTGGGTCTGATACTACCCCTGGCCAGCATATACAACTTTGAACCACCTGCGGGTTCAACCATACATTATATTATGTCTCACAATAGACATAACAAAGTGATGGCAGCATTGGTAACCCCTTCCTCCAGGGCCGCATATTTAAATGTAACTTTACTAGCACCATAAGGCTTTTTGGCATCGGGCTGCCTTGAGAGGTGTACCTTCCTGGACAAGGGTATTTGGTAGGATGATCGAGTTTGGGGTTGTGTAACTAGGAACCGAAGGAAAAAGGCTACAGACTCTGGTTACGCATCCACTTCCTATGCCAATGGATTGTGTCTTGTTAAGGCGACTATATTTGGGAATGAACTCCTCAAGAGTCCAACTAACACAAGCGTTTGAAAGTTACAGATACCATTGACCCCAAATGTATTCCTCAGTGAGCATCGGAGGGTGGCAATTAAGGCGAGCACGGAGGCACTCGGGGGCGTTGTGGTGCTGCTTCATTATGGAGGTTCGACGAGGGCGACGCGGTAAATGCAAAGCAAGGTCTCCTAGGTGGCTCAGGGTACAAACTGGTCTTTAGACCCCTTTGTACCATATGAATTCTACCTGCCAACCGTGCCTCTCTCTCCACTCGTAGAAAGCTGTTTTATTGGTTGGACATTCCTTCCACTCCTGGTACATGGTACCCAACCTTACCATGACCTTATGGCTTTCTTTACTTTTACATTACTGTGCTGCCATCATGACCCCGTCGAGATCATCACTCACCCAGAGGTGCAAGGTGTGCTGGAAACAAACTCTGTCATGAGCCGTCGTTGAACCATGCTCGCGGCCCACTAATACCCATGTCGGATCCATGGAATAGAATTCTCGGTCCCAAATCAGCGTGTGCCTTAGCTCGGCAACACTCGTTTGACCTTACGCTCTCCAGCAAATACTCCGTACGCAAGCTACAAACAACCACACCTGTGACAGCTCTCGTGCACAAGATACAACGCTTAGGGTTTCGATAGCTGCATCTGAAATGATTATGGCAGGGGTGCCGAAACTCGAGGCTGTCAACAAGATGGCTAATAAGAAGCATTGAGGGGCTAGCCATCGCACAGAAAGATCTTTTGCACCGATCGAATCAGGCATCGTATGACTAGCAAGGTCTATTGAGTTCCTATACCCTTCTCTTAATTGGCCCCCTTGTCCTCTGTCTACCAGCGTGTCGTCCACATTTGCAGTGCTCCTCATAAATATTCCAAGCCACGACAACATCTCTACTTGAAGGATGGCCCCGAAATACAAACTATCAACCCAGAAAGGAGTATGTGTGCCTTTCAATCAACTCTCGGTGGTCTGATCTTTTTCAAACTCATGGCGGATTTCATTGACTTCATACAACACCAGTTGGATGAACCGATCCATTCTGTGCGACATAATATTAAGGACACTCCGGGGTTCTTTTCATGTGTCTTTCTAGGCGTACATAGAGGTGGTATGAATAATAAGATGAGACGGCTTTCTTGTATAGAAACAGGAATACACCAAAAGACCAATACATTTGTGCAACTACATGATGTGCATTCTTTTCATCACTAACTAGGTAAACAAATCCCTTTAAAAGCAGTCAATCCTGCTTAACCACCTACTCCAAACCAGTTTCCCACAACTCATCTGAAGGCCGAGAACGACAACTCGCCATGGTATTTACTAGACTAGCTTGAGTTGTATCCATGACCTGCATTGCAACCAATAAGGCGGGGATGATCTTTCTCAGTCAATAAGTTTTTAATGGCGCCGAGTCGGTCAGCGTTTGACCCAGGCACCAGGGTCAGCATCAAACGATCCTTATTTTACATGACGCCTCTTGCGTCTGAGTTGGGATAGGCAAACCTATCAACCATACCCTTAAAGAGACTTTAAGTTGTCATTCCGGAACTATGTACTAGTGGTCGACAATAGCACAAGTACCTAATCGATATTTGTTTCATTTTATTGTTCATGAACAGATCATTTAGCTTCATGGATCAGCAATTATAACGGAGTTATAAAATGGCATTCGAACATATCCTGCTCTACCAGATCTAAGTAGTACGGCCAACGTTCCAATTTTGCGTGTCAGGGATACCAAACATAACGTAGAACACATCGTCCCACTTTTGCGCATCTTTGGTCTGTGTGGCCTCATGGAAGCCTGCAAGACGCTGGAGGATAATAAGGATAATATCTGTCAATTAGTATAAAGCATATAATACGGAGTATATGAAGGGGAAACATAATATTAGCTGGCATCGGAGAGAGGAGCTCGATACCATTCGCTAAAATTCCACTCCCGCCACGGGTCAGCTGAATATTTACCTGTAAAGGGACTTGAACCTGGAAGCCAAAGGTGCGAGATCCCTTTTTCGCTGTGAAGTAAATGGCAGAGAAAAAGATGAGCGGGTATTAGGAGACAATGAAGGATGTTGGACAGCGAGGAAGGAACGAGGGAATGTATTAGAGGTATGTTATACAACTCCAAGTAGAAGCTCTGGAAGAATATCTGAGAAAATAAAGATATCAAGCGACATTTGCAAAGGTATTACTCTACGTCATTAACATGGATTAGAAGAATAGAGGCTGTATATAGTGATGGAATCGATACCACAGAAACCAAATAATCTACCATAAATCATCATACTAGCAACGATAACAGTATGGACTCATCAGAGATGTGCCATGTGTATGTAATTGTACCAGACAATAGCGACAATGACAAGGCTATTCCCCATCCGTCTGAGTCACCTGAGCCCCCTAGTTGAAGACCAAGTGTCCATTGTCATTCCCAATGCGCTCGGCAAGGTTGATATCGGCATGGTGTTCCTCGCCCTCGACGTCGCGCAAGATAGCCCGCAGAACAGGGACGCCGTCGTCTCCTTCGCGATCAAATTGGACATCTTCGGCAGTGGAGTGGAAGTCACCGCCGTCCCAGTGGAATTGACCTAAAGAAATCAATTAGAATAACTGGTGTCACGACACTGATGCAGGGTACACTGCAAGGACAGACTGGAAACATACCATTGTCGTTCCCGATGTGATTATTGAGATCGATGGTGGACTCCTCCTCATCACCATCCTCATTGCGAAGAACAGCCTTGAGGATGTGACCATCCTCAAGCTCGATGTTGGAAGCAGATTCGTGGAAGCTCATATTGTCGATTTGGGAGAGAAGAATGCAAAGTAGAGTGTAGAGACTATTTATCATAAACTTCGTGGATGGCGGAAGTCAACGGAGGGGGAGGGGGACTCTCTTTATATACCCCATCTGGCGAGGCCAATACCCCCCGAGCCACGATCTGGACTAACACAAGGAATCGTGCAGCAGCCCCCAGTTCTTGTCCGACACATGTCCCCGACTAATTCGTCGCACTGCATCTCGATTGCGCCATGGCAGCTGGCTGAGGTGGGGCATTCATTGGGGAGGAGCAACATTGGCAAAGCAGGGATACTGTACTCCGTATAAACGGGGATGTCATCAAAGACAAAGAAACCTAGCGAGTTAGTCTGTAGACAGCTGTGGAGAGGACAGACGGGAGCATCCACAACGCCCGTACACGTCAGTGGGTGGATCAGACTGATCAGAGCCAATGTAAACATCCGAGGGTGTCATCTTGGCGGGATATCCGGCACGAGGGGAGTTCAGAGGACATCAGCTTGATATCCAGTTATCGTGGCGCATGGCGACACCTCCCACTGTCCCCAGCCACAGGATTCGCAGCGACATATCCCGATGTTGCACTGTGCATGCGCGGCAAGGACGCATGATTCCGTGACAGTCTTAGGAAACAGCCACAGGGCGTGGGCCACATATGGCCAATGGGTATCGAACGGACCGAAGAGAAACGCTGGTGCCTAATGTGGAAAATGCAGTTGAACGGGGCTGATACAGTGCCAAGCCAGTTTGGGGATGCAGCCTCATGTTGTCAGTCCTTGGCAGTTGAGGTATTGGGGAGGGGTTATTCACAACCAGTGGCGTTGAGGGGACCTGTGGCTGAATAAGGCTAGCCCTGTGACTCGGAGCGGTTTCGGAGGGGCAGGGATGAGGTGGATCATCTTGAAGGTGGACAACACATTCGAAATGTTTCTCTA